AAATATATATATCAAATTTTATTTCATTAAATTCATTTTGTATTTAAACTTTTTGCATTAGTTATTTTAAATAAATTTGATAATTTTATAAGCAAAATCCTATTTGAACAGTTAAATTTTTAGTATTATTGCTATATTTAGTGATAAAAAGAGAAAGAGCGAAAATATCTTAGTATAGTTCTATACGCATATTAAAATAATGTGGTAAATAAAGTGATAATAATGTGGTTATAATAAAGTGGTTATAATGTGGTAAAATGCAGATTCAAAACTTCGCTTTTGTATTAAAAAACAAACAAACAAACCGTGGTTTAGTCTTAACTAAAGAATAATTTGTTACTAAATTAAAGTAGCTTATGTTTCTTTTTATTATTGAAACACGTGCTAGCTTCTTTTTTTATTATTTCAGTTTTATTTTATTAACGTTAAAGCATTAATTTTTACAAATGCAGCTTTACTTTTTTTTGCAATATCCAAGGAACAAAAACAAAATTGTTTTTCAAGGGATTGTTGCCTTCCTATTTTTAAACAATAACTCTTTTTAGTTGAATAAACAATTTCTTATGTTGAATATTCCGCACAGAATATTAATAAAGACCTTTTAAATGCTTCCTTGCACATGTTAGAAATAAAAGTTTGCAGTTTAGGCTAATCCTTGCATAGTTTGCTATGGCATTGACCTTTGAGTTTATGAACTTAAAAGTTTTTCGACTGACGCTGACTCACGGTTCATTTCAGAGTAATTTTTATATTTTTAGTTACCGAGCAACTACGGCTGAATAGATTCTGAAAGCACTAACTTTATTATTGTACGCCTCAAATAACAAATTTCTGAGAAGCATACCATCATTTTGCAGTTTTTGAGTCGTGAATTATGTAAGAAAGGAACCGTTCTTTCCATCTAATTGAGTTGTAAACCAGAAAAATAAATGACTAGATAATTTAAAAGAAATTGTCATGCTATTTTTATGACTGAAAAAAAAGAAGATATTAATCTTTCTTTAGCTTGTTATTAATTTTAAACCCGGAAGTTAATCGTTTGGTCATTTTATTTAGATATACGTGTATTTTGTTTATTTTATTTGCTGTAAATTGATGGTGTACAGCATCCATTGAAGTCGTACTGCCTCCTGTATCTCGATAACAGACAACGATTTGAAACACAAAAATGAAGGCCATTCAACCTTGGTTTGAAATGTCAGAAAAGAAGTTGAACCCTGCGAGAATAACCTCATTAGAAATATTTTTATTGATAAATAATTAAGTATAAAAAAGTTAAAAAGTAATTTAAAAAAATGTTTTTGTTCTGTTTTTAAAGCAATGTCAAATTAAAATCGAAGGGATAAAGCATAATTAAATGCTGATCTTGGTTTTTTCTTTTTCTTTTTTTAAATAAAAAAGGCTGTTTCAAAATTAATAATAAATAAAATAACTGAATTTATTAAAATGGAAAAGTGCCTCAGATTTAAATCGGTATTTAAACTTATCAGCATTTTAAAATTACGAAATAAAAGAGTAACTGAGTTATTTTTATATTTATTATAAGCTTTATGCGAAAGTGTGAGTAGTCAACATATAAAATAATGAACCTGAAATTATAAAACATTTTATTTGGAATTAACTTTCCGCATTGTTGCTAAATAACCGTATAAGCGAAAAACATTTATCGAGTTTTTATAAATTAAACAGAAATTTCTATCTGTATGAAAAAAATCGTAAGAGCCTCTGCCACTTTTTTGGGTGTTAGACATTGTGGGTGTTTAAAGGTTACATTTTGTTTTGCTGTGCAAAAACATTAAGAATAAAATTTAGAAAAATGTGCACTAAGTACAATGGATTTTATTTTTTATTTTATAACCGTCGTAGGACTGTCGACCCAATTTTGGGTTTACGACTGCTAATGTTCAATTCCGTAGTCTTGTAATTCTGAACCAACCCGGAAGACAAGGAAACTCCTTGACCTGAAGTAACTGTTAAACCTGTAGGGAAAAAATTACATACGGGTCGCTCTACTGGACGCAGGAGTTGAAATTTGGTACTCTAAAAGGGCCATATTTGTTTAATTTAGAAAAGAATTTTCGAAAGTTTAATTTATTCAAAATGTATTCCAATTTTAACTATTTTTTTTTATCGTTACATTTTGCTAAAACTTGAAATTACAATAGTATGTCGAAGAAAGAGCAAGGAGTGCGATGAAATAAAGTATAAGTTCGAATATTATTAACTTATAAAATAAACACCATGTTTTTTCAATCTGTAGCTCGTTGTAATGCAACTATGGATGGAGTTAAAATGTGACGTGTTGAGAAAGAGTCATTTTGATTTGTAAATTAAGAGCAATTTTTGTTACAATATTGTTCAAAAGTTTTTGCAAATTTCTTTTTTCGTAATAGTTTCTCAACGTTTTTGCTTTAAATATTAACTATTTATCCATTGCTTTGGAAAATTTATTTTTCTCTACGGAAATCTTTTTTATTTTATTTTATAAACTTGCGCTCAAGTACAGGTCGTAATTTTTCAAATCTTAAGTAATTGTCAATTTCGTTACGGTTAACGCAAAATGTTCTTACTTTAAAGCCACAATAATTGTATACTTTGATAACAAAATTTTCTGTGTTATTGCGGAAAATATTGATGTTAAAAAAATAGAATGATAAATGAGAAGCAATTACGACTATTAATTTTGAACTATTAATGACGGACTATTGCGACTATTAATGGCAATTATTAATTGAAGCAGGGGGGACATGGGGCGGAGCCTTCTTTCCTAGTATATTAAAAAAAAATTATGTTTAGTGTCAATGGTAATCTAGCTAATGGAAAGGTTTAAATTTTATCACAATAAAATCGGAAGTAGGATAGAGCGTTTGCCTTCCAATGAGGTGAACCGGGTTCATATCCCAGCGTTGGCTGGTCGATACGAATTTCCCACCGACCACAATGCTGACTATCCTTAGTGGTCGGCGGATCACGGGTTATAGTCCCCTTACAGTCTGGCTAACCCTGGGAGGTTTTCCTCCACATATTATGCGGCTTAGTTCCATCAAAAAGTCCTAAGCGAGGGCAAATTTCTCTCATTACTTGATCCAGGAAATCCTTTGTCTTCTGGGTTAAGTTCAAAATTACAAGGCTACGAAGTTGAACATAAGTAGTCGTAAACCCAAAATTGACTCGGCTGTTCAACGACGAAAATTACGAAAACGGTCAGTGAAAATTTCGACTAAAGAATGCGTTTGTGATGACAAAGCTCCTCGCTACCAATCACCTGACATCTTTTTTTCTGTACATAACCCTATACTTTACATTTTGTAAATTGACTTTTTGTCGATATTTTTGATCAAGGTTTTTAATTGGAAAGACAGTTATAAAATTTCTTATGTTAAACATGATGTTTTTCCCTTATCTAATTTTTGGTGGGAAAGTAGGGTACCATACATTGATCATTCGAGGACCACAGCACAGCTATTCTGCCGCGGAATTTAAAAAAAAAAATTTGTTTCATCAGTTTTTTGAAATTCTATTTTAGCGTTCTTAACATTAGTAATGGAAGCTGTCAAGCCACTTTTCTCGGAATCAATCGTGAAACGTTGGTCTTTCATTTGCACTTCGGTTTTGTTGTCGATTCTTTACTTGCAAATAGACTGTATTTTCTTTTGTCGAATATGTTTTTTTTTTTTTAAGGTTGTAACTAAGAATATTTATACTTGTTTTACATGAATCCAGATTTAAACTAAGAATGTTAATATTAGAAAACTAGCTGAAAATGTTAAACTTATTCACTATTTTACTACATCATTTCTGTTGATAAAATTTTGATATAATTATTTTCGTACGGATTGTTAAATACAAGTTTATGTAATAAGATAAAAAGTTTCCTTTCCGCGTCCATTAGCTCGATGTCCTCGATTTTGCCGCCTTTATTTATGATATTCTGCAAACAGCTGCTTTGTGATGTTTCACTAAATTAAATGTTTGTTTATTCACCTTTCTATTGGTAACCCAGCTGTTTAGAGAATTGGATGATGTGTATTGTTAATCTTCTTATCTATTCTACAATAGAAATAGATTATGCTGATCACATTGTTTATTAATAAATGCCTTTTTATAATTTTTTTTTTCTTTAAATAACTGTTAAGCTACCAACTGTTATTCCCTGAACAGTGAACATCATCCTATAATTTATTTAATATTTTATATCTGCATTATTTAAATAAATATTCAGACAAATATTACTCACGAGTGTAATAAAACTCACCAATCACTATGTATACTTTTAAAAAAGTATGTTTCAGTTGCATAAATAGCCGATCAATCTACTACTAATTACACAAGAGACAGTTCTTAAACGTTTGGAACCTTAAATGTTATTTCACTTTATGCATACTTAATCGTTTCAAACAAGTCTTATTTTTATATTTTCTCTTCCCAAGAATTATTGCCTTCAAATTTTAGATTTTGTCACTTAAAACTAGTTTGCAATAGAATAAAAATTTCATACCTTACCAAAAAGAAAGGTCATAAGTTATTATTTTTTGCATGGAATTTATCTTTGAAAATAAGCACGTTTTTGCGCAAGATTATAAAATTCAATTATAATTTATGATTATGAATTATAATATATTATGATAATTTTCAATCATAAATTTTTATAATCTTGTGCAAAATTTTTTTCCTCTCACATTGTGCCAACAATTAATTTTGGTGATATGTGGATAAATGCAAAAAATGAAATCAACTCCAAAGGAGTCTCTGATTAATCTAATCAGCACATTAAAGGTTAGGTGTCTGAACCATTGAGACCCGATTTTAGTGCAGGAAAATCTAATCATTTGATCAAGCGTCATACAGGAGTGTTAGTTTTTTTTAAATTTTATTTTGTGAACTTTATATATTTTAATTATAAATTCCCTCTTAATAATAATATACTTGATTTATTGTTAACTTAAACTGAAATTAGTTGAAATAATTTTTATTGATGAATTGTTTTTATCTTCTTCCAGCTTATTCAATATCACTTAGTAATGCAGCTAAATTAGTAATCAATCCATCTGGTCAAGCACAGAGCCAACCTGCTGGTAAGGGATTTGGCCTGACATGTAGGGGAGAAGCAGAAAATACAGAGTTTTTCACAGAAATGAAATGGGTCGGTCCTAAAGGTCCCATTGTTGAAGGGTGAGTGCTGCTTTAATCTGATTGTTGAATGTATCTTATTTTTTATTTTTCTCTTCTTTCTAATTTACAAAAAGTCTAACATTGCAAAATAGCTTTTCAATGAATATGGATTACCTCATGTATTAATGTTTTATGTCTATGAACATACTTTAAGCATACTTAACCCTTTGGCTACTAACGGGACTCATTTGACCCAACAAATGTTTAAAAATAACTAATGGGGGGAAAAGCACATAGAAACTCATTGTAATATGTCCCAGTCGTAGAGTCGAACCAAGTATACATGTTTCATGTGTCAAATATCCCCTAGATGGCACTAAAGAGTTTCTTGCATGAAATAGCATTGTGATTTTGCGCTGGGACAGATATATCCCACTCGTATTCTTCATTGGGATTGTTATGTCCATTAATATTTTATTCATATTTTTTCAAATGAACATAGAAAAAAGAACAAATATGAGTTGCTAAACGTGTAACGTCAGGTTATGCAAAGATTGCTTCACCCTGTATCATACCATGTAAAAATAAAGTTAATATAAATAAACTCTTCCAGAATGAAAGATGTGCTTGTAGTAAGTCGATCACTACAGGTGGGACATATGTATCCCACCATTAAGTATGGCCGGGACATAATGCCCCAGCCTCTAATTTGATAATCGCTTGTCAGAGAAATCCCAAATACTAAACCTATTTTGTCCTTTTGAGTAATAAACGGGACAAAAAAATCATTTTTTAAAATTCGTAGTCAAAGAGTTAACTTCAATTTTTTATCATTAATGAATTGAAGCTGATTTTTAATTGCAGTTTATAAGTTTTATTTTAATGCATTATTCTTTTGACAGAACTTCAGGCCCCATTGAAACATCAAAGGCAGATGATGCCCTATTATTGATGTTCAAAGAACCTTCTACAGAAGATAGTGGATATTACAACTGCAGTGCAGTATATGATAATACAGATAAATTAGATACAGGAGTACAATTAACATTTTTTCGTAAGTAATAAGTTTGATTTCTGTCCTTGATAATGTTTGTGCACATAATTTGAATCGGCATATTTTTATTGACATAACTAAAATTTTTTTGTCATGCTAAAAAATAATAAAAAACTTCATATATCCAGAGATGATTGTACTCCGAAAAAAGTCCGGATTTTCGGATTTTTTGCATACTGCGATTGGCAAATTTTTGGAAATCCAAGGTGCAGAAGTTTCAAGAAATCATCTATCACATTTATGTATAAAAATTCTTGTATTTATTATTTATATTGTATATTTATATATTGTATTTATTATATCTTGTATTTATTGTAAAAAAATTTCAGGATTTTTGAGTTGGGCTCACAATCACCCCTGTAGGTCATTCATACTCGTGTAATTAATTTGCAAAACCTGCTGCCTGTTTTAGAAGGAAAAGAAGAAATGGGTAGAATATTATATTACTCGTAGGAATTTTTCCTTATAAAAATGAAATTTTAAGCTTATGGGAATGGAAAAATAAGTTATGTTCATATGAGAGCTTAGAAAACACTTCATACAATGTGTTCAACTTATTTTCCTTTTAAAAATGTGCCATTAGTAAGTTTTGCATTTGGATGGCTTGAGTGATATATTGTAGTGAATAAGTAATTATTATATTGTGTAGTTTTAAAGGCAGTTTTCTTTCTTTTAAAAACTTATCGTAATGTTCGATTTATGTTTAACTCTGAAGTAATTGTACAAAAAGCAGAATATTTTTTTCTTCTTTTATATTTTTCAACATGTTTTCCGTGTACATCAGAAATATCTCGCATTATTTTATAAACATAATGAAGCATTTCAAAGTTCAACTTCAAACTATTTGAGCTCATTACTTAATAATAATCATTGATTGAGTTTTAATTGAAATCTGATGTTATTGTGAAATTTGATGTTAATATTGAAAATGAATTATTCTATTATTAAATATTCAGTGAAATATCCAACAGTTGGCTGAATATTGAGAAAAACACTATTTTTTCAGGATGGGGAACATGTTATTGAAAATGAATTACTCTATTGTTGAATATTCAATGGAATATGAAATTAACAGTCGACTGAATATTAACCAAGATCTCTATTTTTTTTCCAATGCGTAACATTGCTAAGAATCTTTCTATTTTAAAACTATGATGGTCAGCTGCTTTCTCTCTCTCTCTCTCTCTTTTTTTAAATCTTGAGCAGAAAGTGTAGATTTTTCTCATAGTATTTCTCTCTCTCTCTTTTTTTTACTTGACTTTTTTTTGTGGAGTTGCAGTTAAAAATTCACTAACAAAGAATTGCTTTCTTAGCACTAATTTTATGCTTACTTGATCTATGCAAACTATTGGAAAAAGGGCAAAGCTCTATGTTTTCATTTTGTATTTCATTTTTATTAATTGGGAAGAAAAATACAATTATGATATTTTAATGTTACTCTCATTGTTGTTACCAGCTGTCTTTGTATCATGATAAACCCTTTGATGGTTATAAACGGGTTCAGCTCGCAATCAAATTGTGCTTCATAATGCGCAAAAACGAGTTCCGGTCAGGAGCAAGATTTCGAACGAAATGGTTAGAAACAAGTGAAAATTATAGTGAAAAGTTTCCCCAATGAGCGCTGACGAGCTGAGCTCGTTCGCCATTATTACTCTGCATTGATTATGCTACAAACGAATCCTACACGTGCAATTTAGTTAATTTTACTGTCTACAGATGGCAGTACGGGTTGCATAAATTTCTTTTCATAATGAGAAGGGAATTTTTTTTCTTACCTTGTTCTTTTTATGCTTATATAGCGCGTTTTTTTTAGGGTGTTTGTAAAGTAAAATGGCTCAAAAACGAAAGTTAGAAAATTATGATTATGTTCATTCTCTGTAATATCTGTTCTTACTGTGGGAGCAAAGTTTGCCAACCTAATATGATGCCCCTGGAAAAGTGGCCAACAAATCTGCCCTTCAGATCCCTATATGACATAGATCATTCCCCAGGCGGGCATTGGAAAAAAAATTATAATAATTCTATCCATTTAACAGAGATCGGTATTTAATATGCCTTCATGAACATTAGAATGTTCTCAAAATGTAAAGTTTTCTTTATTTTCTTATCAATCACCTTGATTATTTTTACTAACTTATCTTTTAATTCATTAGAGGATATCACTTGGGAAGACTGCCCAACCAAACAAGCCCTCGTAATCAACAATGATGGAAAAATTAGATGCAGAGTCTCAGCGAACCCACCTGCGACAATACAATGGACAAAAGATAACCAACTACTTACTGATCGTTACATTGTTGAAAATGATGGAATCAAAGTTACTGGTGTCAATGAAGAAGACAAGGGTACATTTTCACTCAGAGCTATGGTACAACAGACTGGAAGGTTTCAGAATAGGAAAATAAAAGTTGAAGTTCATGGTAAGACTAGTTTTTTTTCCCTTCTTGTTAAAACTTGTAATATTGGGATTAATTTTTTTTAAATTATTGTAATGAAGCATTAAGGAAATTTTTGAATATTAACACACTTTAAAGATATTAATGTACTTTTTTTAGATGTTATTGTTTACCATAGGAGGATGTATTTTTTTAAAAAACCATTTTATTTGCAAGCTTATACTTATTATTTCATTGTCTCAGAAAGTAGCATCTGTTCTACTTTAGTCACTGTGATGCAGTGGCTCTGAGCTGTTATTGCGAAGGACCTAAGTTCTATCTATGGCTATGGCTTAACGCCTATCCAGCTTGAGATTGGCGGGTACCATCGTTTTTTAGAAAGAAAAGGTGCCCACTGTGTAATGTTGACACCATTGTCACCTTTATGCCGATGATCTTGATATAGTTAAACCAGTGAAGGGGAAAAAAAAAAATTTCCTACCAAAACTTTCCAAATCAGGTTTTTTTTAATTTATTACAGTTATACTGTTATCCGGAAATCAGAAAACCGGAAAACCAAAAATAAACGGAACAAAATCCAATAAATTTTCCCGCCATTTTTAAAAAAATTTTTTTTTTTTCTTCATAAGATTTTATGATCTTTCTTTCTTTTTTGAAAGATGTTTACCTTACCATCATTTTGGAAATAATCATTAGTGTATTACTTCATCGTTTTTTCTTTTTTTTAAGATTATTTCCAAAATTTTTTTTTTTTTAGTTGGGTTTAACAAACGGCCTTTTGTAGCGATTCAGAAAACCGGAAAAATCAGTTATCCGGAATAGCGATGGTCCCGATCTTTCCGGATAATCGTTTCCCTACTGTAATAGCAAAAGGTTAAATAATGTTTTAAACTCCAAATTTGAATGTAGCGAAGTCATAAAAAAAACTTCAGATATTTTTTATTATTTATTAATATTTTGATTAGAGATTTCAAAAATATTAACTTTTGTTCTATAAATATACGAATAAAATGAAAAAAATATAAAAACCAAACTTATATATAACTTATTTATTACTTTAACATGTAAATAAGTGTTCAATATTTTAGTAGTGCATAGAAAAATACAGGAAAAGAGAAAGAGTTCCCCTTGATAGTTAGTAAAAAATTTCATATTTCAGTATTAATTAATGTCATTATATAGCAGTATACATTTTGTAGCATTTGTATCAATTAATTATTTGGAAGAAAATTTCTTTTTTTTTTCCTTATTGAATCAATACAAATTTTAATATTAAGGAGTGTGAGATATTTAAAACATTAAATTTTTTAATTATATATATTTTTTAATTATACATTTTTTAATTTTACATCATTTAAAATTAACAGAATGATGAAAAGGAAACAAAAATCTATACACATGGCAGCATAAATATGAACACATAAAAAAGCAAAGGAATATTCTAATTCTAACAGTTAAAAAAACAAGGAACAAGCTATTTTTTAAAAAAAGATTTATTTTAAAATAGTGAAACTATGTAACACAATTCTTATCGACATATTGCAACATTAAATAATTAAGAAAAAATGCATAAAAATATTATAAATGAATTTTAAATTTTTTTTCTAAACCCATTTAATATATATATAGTATAAAAATTGCAATTTGAAAATAAACACACTGCTTCCTACAAATTTGTTTGCCCTGCTAACAAAAAATAATTCTAAAATTAAACTGAAAAAATAAAATTTAGAAAAGCACCTCATTCCTGTTAAATTTTTGAGAAACTGTTACTCTTTTAACTACAGTACAGAACCCGTTATCCGGAAATCAGAAAACCGGAAAACCAAAAAACCGGAACGAAATTTGATAAATTTTCCCGCAATTTTTTAAAAAAAAATTTTTTTTCTTCATAAGATTTTAGGATTTTTCTTTCGTTTTTGAAAGATGTTTAACTTACCATCATTTCAGAAATAATCATTAGTGTATTACTTCATCTTTTTTTCTTATTTTTAAGATTATTTCCAAATATTATTTTTTTTTAGTTGGGTTTAACACTAAAAAAACGGCTTTTTGTAGCTATTCAGAAAACCGGAAAAATCAGTTATCCGGAATAGCGATAGTCCCGATCGTTCCGGATAATCGGTTCTCTACTGTACATGAATCAACATATTGTATAACCTAAATGTCTTATAATATGTTTTTAAAGTTTAGTATCTGTTGTTTTTACTTAATTAAAAATTCTTTCAGAAATTAAGTTGATTTTTAAGAATGTATTTAATTACTTACCTTGGTAAAAACATACCAGTATTAGAAATGTTAGTAAATCAGTATTTGGATTTGGTTAAGTTTAATTATTTTTTTATTTTATTTTATCTTTTCTTGGGGTTTCCATTCAGTTTTATAAATAAACATGTTAAATTCGTAAAATTTATTAAATTTGTAAAATTATATATTTGTAAATATTAAATTTGTAAAATTAAATTTAAATATTAAATTTGCAAAATTATAAAATATTACTCAAATATCTAAATGAAATAAATGTGTTTAATTAAAATTTCTAATGGGTCTAAAATTTTGTTATATTTGTAGTTCCTCCTGAAATTATTGAATTGGATGATAGAATTGAAGCCACTGAAGGAAATGAAGCTATGTTTAGGTGTCAAGCTAGTGGATTCCCAAGACCTGTATATGCTTGGTTTGATCCTGTAAGTAAAAAACAACTAACTGATACACTTAAATTAGTTGACTTCTTAACTTCATACTTATTACAAAAGCGAAAGCAAATAAACCATATTAGTTTAGTATCTAATCAGATCATTAGAGTTATTTTAAGTGCATTTCTTATTAGATAAATTTTATTTTAAATTCTCTTGACTGTCTATATCAATTGCATATATGTCATTTAAATGTTAATTGAAAGTAACAGTATGCATTACAATTTGGGCAGTTTAAGATAAACAGTTTCAGAAAGTTATTATAATTTAATGTAATTTTTGTTCATTACAAAAAATTGGTTTAATTAAATATTTTTTCCCAAATTATACTCCCTTAGCATTGAAATTCATAGCTGATTCAAGACCATTAAAAAATGGTTCAGATCACAGAAAAATAGTTCTTAGTGGTCCATAACCTCTGGATCATTTACTGAGAGAGTGCAAAGACTTTAACTATGATTTCCATACAGGAAACCCAAAAAAAGAGGAATTTAACAATTGAATTTATTAAATGATCTGTTAAAAATTAACTTATTTTATTAATTAAATTAAACAGTTGCCTTATTGTTAAAATCAGTTTTTCCCCTTTTATTATAATTTTCATTTTTAATTCTATAATTTTTACTCTGTAGTTTAGTAATTTGTTATTAAATTTACTTACTTCAATCTTTAGAACAAAATTTATTCACTGAAAGCTAATTTTATTAAAAAAAATTGCGAGTGAGGAAATTTTTAAGTTGATAGAAACATACTTGTAGTGTTTGACTACAGTAGGCAATATGGATCGTTACGATTTTTCGTTTACTGATCCAGGAGACTGGTATCTTTTCGAACACTAGCTTTTTGCATAGTATAAAAAGTATTATATAGTGTTCATCTTTGTATACTCATGTGTACTCCATAACTTAAAGCAACTTTATTCAGGAAGTATTGATGTAGCTGACGCCCGGTGGCTGAGCGGTAGCGCTTCGCGCTGTCGTGCCACAGGTCCTTGGTTCGATCCTTGGGCCGGGCAAGGCCGACTCAGCCTTTCATCCCTTCAGTGGGTCGATAAAATGAGTACCAAGCATGCTTGGGAACTAACACTGGGGGTTCCGCGTTCGGCTGACCATCTGACCGGAACATATGCTCCTGCACCCCAGAGCCCAAGGTCAAGAAAACTGAGATGGGCACAGTCGGCCTTGGCCCTCTTAATGGGCTGTCGCGCCACTGAGTTAGTTTTAGTTTTAGTTTATTGATGTAGCTAGCGTAAAATTGTTTTCTTCAAAAAGTATTTTTTTCTTTTCTTGATAATTCTAGTGTTCTGCATTAGATTACTATTTGCATTAGATATATATTATATTAACGACTTTAGATTAATATTTGAATTGCATAACAATATCAGGTCAATTTCATTAATGAATGTTTTTCTATGCTAAATACTTAATTTTTAGATAAAATATTTATTTTGTTGTTTTTTGTCAGTCTTTATTAGGGTTCTTTTACACTGCATATTTATACTATCAATTGCAAAGAGGATGTTTTGAAAAGTTTGTTAATTTTAGCATTTTTTCATTTTTATAAAATACAGATATTTTTTGATAATGACAAATATTTTTAAATTGTGGAAACTACTGCAATGTGAATTTCAGGTCTAAACTGAAGCCTGTATTTTATCAAAGTTAAATTTTAAATTAAACTTATCCCTTGTTGCTTTTTGATTGAATTCAAATAAAATATATTGATAATTTAGAAGAAAAAAAACGTATGATCTTTGAAATTTAGAAAAAAAAAGCAAATTTAAATATTCTGTTGAACGAATTATCATTCATTTACTAAGTAAAATAAATATGTTTCATTTAGGATCAAAGGGACCTTAGTACTGTTGAAGGCCATATTGTTGATGCTGATACAGGCAGTTTGATAATTAGCAGCGTAAAACGAGAAAACAAGGGACGCTATACATGCTTAGCTAAAAATCCTGCTGGTGATGCTAAAAGGAGCTTAGATCTAACAGTTGTTGGTAATAATTATTTTTTTTTCTTCCTTAAGATGCATTTTAAGCTAAATTTTCATTTAAGATTTTAAAATTTAAAAAAATGTTTTAACTTTACTTTCAGTCAAACCAGAAATTAAAGTATTCAACAATATCACAGCTGCTCAAGGTCAAGATGCAAAATTTGAATGTAGAGCTGTTGGGGACCCATTACCTGACCTAGCAATAAGAAAACAAGGACAGGATAGGCCCTTTGATGAGGATGTAAGAAATCTTTATTATTTTGCTCTTTTCAACAAACTTTTTGGTGGGTGTTTCTTATCACTCCTCTTAATATTCATTTTTAGAACCCTTGTAAAAGAATTGCCCAAAGTAAGGGTTGTAAACTAATATTTAAGTCGTGAAAAAAATTGAAACTATTGAAACATTAATAATGAAAGTAAGATTAAAAGCATCAAAACATTACATTAAGTAATTGAGAGGAGAGGAGAAATTATTTAGAAATACCTTGAAATTTCATCTAGCGCTAAAACTTTTTCTTATTTTTTTTTTTTAAATTTTTATTTTAATTTTAAATCTCCTGTAACCATTTAATAGTTAATCTTCAAGTCTTCTCTTCATTTCAAGTAGTTAATCTTCTTCATTTTGTGGTAAATTTTTGAAAAAAATGTCCAACAATCTCAACTATCTATTAAAAAAAAATAATAAAAAAAGAAAACAAGGATAGTATGGGAAATGCTATAGTTTTCCATAAACTCAAGGGTCTGTTTAGAAGAAATTTGGCTCCGTTAATGAACCCTTCACAAAATATCTTTTCATAAAAACGGACCCTTCACAAAATAATTTATCTTATAATCGGACCCTTCACAAAGTTGTTTATCTTCATTATTGTTTTGTTAATCAAATAAACCCTTCCCAGAGGGGTGGGGGAAAGAAAGACAGATGTAAACGAACTAAGTTTTGTCTTCGGCAGACGATTCTTCCTTTATTCGTCCGAAATGAATACTCTGCGTTCAGCAGTATAGGCTAAATACCGAATATTTGTGTGTTGCATCTCTAATTTTGTGTTGCATCTCTAAAAACCGAACCTTTCACGAAAGGTCTGGACAGACCCCTGAAACTTATAAAAAATGTTAAAAATTTAAAAGTATTTGATAACTTTTATTATTGTTATTTTTTCTTTTTTACTTAAAAAAAATGTCGACAAAAATCAAGTAACCGTTTCTTCTTTTTCATAGGATGATCGAGTAATCATTAATAGGAAAACTGAATCTGATGAAGCTGTTTTAACTTTAACTATCGAGAGAGTTGAAAGAAATGATGATGGATTGTATTACTGTGCTGGAGAAAACAAAGGAGCTCAAGCAGAACGTGCTGGTCACCTTCAAGTTGAATGTAAGCTTTCAATATAAGTTTTTATATCAATTTATTTAATACCTCCTCCATTCTCCTCCTTCTCTAACTTATTCTTATTGTTTTCGAGCAATTTTAGAATTGATATTTTAAATAGTTATTTTCAATTTTATGAACTATTTTTAGAATAATACTTTTTAAAGTTGTTATTATTCAATTTTTAATAAGATGTACACATCAAAAGTGAAAGTGATTCCTTTTAAAATTAATTTTTTTAAAAATTATAATTGACATGCTTTTCCAGGTAATAAAATTTAACAAAATCTGACAATTTATATGTATACTAAAAGCAGATTTAAAAATGCAAACCTATATTTAAGTAGGCATTAGCATTTCTTCATTTGATTTATCTAAATTAATAAAGTAAATGATCAGTAATGCTTTTTAAAGTTACCATTTAAATTACTTTAGACTATTAATTGCACTTGCACAATTGAAACATTTGAAGTTAAATTATAAATCAGCTTTAATAAATAAATCTGTATTTTTTATTTATTCATATTCCTTTGTGTACTTTAATTTATTTAGTTTCAAAACAAATGGTTATTAATCTTTTTTGTGTGCATGAAAGCTTTGATGGAATTCATAAGTATCAACCTTTTTTATAGTTGCACCTGTGATGTCATTAACTCCCACCACTTCTGTAAAAACCTGGAATGGAAACTCTGTTAATATTACATGCATTGCAGAATCTATACCAAATGCAACTATCTCTTGGTTCTTTAATGAGAGGAAAATACAAGATGATGATACCTATACAGTTCATGGTCGATCTGCTGAAAGTAATTTACAGGTGAGAGTAGTTTATTAGATGGGAAAATATATTGAATGTCAGTAAATCTGAAAAATTTAGTTTTCTAATGTCTATGTGTGTGTGTATTGGAACATCAGGAATATTTTTATGCTAAGCATTTTTTTATTTGAGAAATCATCATTTTGTTGATTGACTGGACAAAATAAATTTACTCACAATCATAACATGATCGCAAATCCATAAAATTGAATGTTTTTTAAATTTTCTCTTAAAGTGTTTTTATAGTATACTCATAATTTCTTATGTAAAATAATTTTTCAATTGTTTATACAAATTATAATTTAATTAAATGAATGAAAAAAATATTTTTGAACTCCCAAGAAGTTATTTGTTATTTCATTCTTTTAATAAACGTTAGTAGCTTTTATACTAAAATGATTTTACAGTTATAAGGATAAAGTAGTGAGTTATTTCAAAGGTAAGGATCAAAAAAAAAAAATTTTTTTTTCCAGTAAATTATGTGCTGATTGGTTTATTTAATTTTTCTTTTAATCCTAAAGAGATTATTTATTTTTTAATATGTTTGTATAGGTTCGTCCACCAAGTGATATACGAGGTAGTCAAAATATTTATGGAACTTACAAGTGCCAAGCTGAAAATTCCCTTGGATCACAGTACATTAATATTGATCTCTTAGAAGCGCGTGAGTACATTTTCATTCACTCATTTATTCATTGCAATTTATAAATACTTCTGTTGGGGAGATTTTCGTATCGTGATCTGTGGCAGAATAATTGCCAACTCTTGGAAACTTCCTGGCAGTGGCCCGCGGAAAACTAAAATAACATCACAGAAAGGGACCAACTCGAAAGGTATAACTTGTAGCCACCCCGGGAAAAAATCTATGTTTTTTTAAAAAAAAATTTGCATCTATTTGGCATCTTGGCGATTGTAGTTGGCGAGACAGATCACATACGGAAATATCCCCCTTCCTAAATTTGTTTTACATTATTTAATGTTAATTAGCATAAATATTGAGAAATAAAACATTTGTATATTATTTTTTAAGATACAAATTTTTTATTTCTTATTATGTATTCTACTTAAAATGCTTCTGGTTCATTAACAGTTAAATTTGTTCCAAATATTTCCATAAAATTTATAGAAATTTAGTATTTATAGCACGAATGCAATTGCCTATTAGTATGTTTTCTTGTAGCTTTCCAATTATTAATGCTGGAAAATGTTTATCTTCAAGTGTAATCCTTAATCTTCACTAAAATAATTCACAGCAACAATTTTTGTTTGTTTAGGTGTATTTTTGATTGTTAATATCTTTTGTGCCGCATTTGAGTTATAGATTAAAGTATTGATTACACGAAAAGAATTTAATTTGTGTTAATTGGTATTACTAGTTAACGAAAAGTCTTGTCTGTTCTAATATTAGTTGCTCAAGAATTGATGCAAAGTAATAAAAATAAATTTTTTTTTCTTAACCTACTCTAAACACAAGCATTCTTAAAATTATTTGACAGTGTTATTTTTTTTCTTCTTCCAGAAATTGAATTTGTGATTATATTTCAAATCAGAACATATTTAATATCTTCACTCTTTTGCAAACTTAAATTTAATTTGTCAAGTTATGGACGTAATAATAACTAAAAAATATCTGATGAAAAAATATTTGTATAATAAATTAATAATTCAGTTTTTTCAATGAATAAAATTATTGCAAAAAAAATTTTTTTTAAGCCTAAGTAGCGTATCAATTTTGACGTGTTACAAATTACTGTAGCTTTTTGTTCATAAGTTACATAAATGTCTCTCTCTCTCTCTCTCTCTCTCTCTCTCTCTCTCTCTCTCTCTCNATATATAAAAACTCAGTAACAAGAATTTCGCTTTTGTAATTTCAGGAAGACCATCATCCCTTCAAGGAATAACTGACATTAAAAAAACTGCCACAACCATTACATTTGAGTTCAGAGAGCCAGCAGATGATGGAGGATTGCCAATTCGTGCCTATGTTGTCAAATACCATGAAGAAAATGAGCCTTATGATGCTCCTGCAGTTCAAGAATGGAGTGAAGGTTTGAACAGATTTAATATTTATTATGTATTATTGATGAAACTTAGTAGCCAGCTTTTGTTTCTTTTAATCCACCAAAAATTCCCACTACAAAAAGTGATAAAAATATGTCTGCTAAGTCTCCTGTTTTTTAACGAAGACTTCTGTATTTTACGACTATCTCCTATTTACCCGTATATTCTCAAATTTCTCTGTATTTGTTGAAGAAATTTTAAAAAAAAAAAAAATTGCAATAAAATATCCGCTGATAGCAAAATACTTCTCTTATTCCTCAATACTGATGTTGAGTGTTAATAGTTAAAGTAATTATAAATAATGGTTTATAAAAATCTTCTTAAGATTAATATTTGACTTACGTGATTATGCATGATGTATCAAATTTTTACTCTTAGCCTAAAAAATGCCATGTCTAATGTTGGGAGGTATGTAAAAAATAAATATATAAATTAATTTCTCAAATATTGCGAAATTTTAAACATATAATTTATATGTAAATAAAATTCTACTGGTTTTTAATATATAAGTCAAAATCTCAAATTTAATATTTGAAAGATTTATTAATTTTTGCATTCTATGTTTGACTTACATAAACTAATCCAAATGTGGAAATACAAGAATGATTTTTTTTTTACAAAATTCTACATACTAATAGATTTATTACTAAACATTATTTGTTACTTTTAACCCCTTAACTTAATATATAGAGATAATTGTTAAGTAAGGCGTTAAAATCCTTATTACCGCCATTTTATTTTTAATTAATTTTAACCCTTTTATTAGTTGAAGAAAATTTATAAGATATAATATATTGTTTTCTCTTTAAATTGTTAGGGTCTTGTGTTTTAACAACAAAGATACTATTGAACTGTTTACTAATACTCCATACTTTTCTCTTCATTCATTATATTTATTTCTACCTTTAATAATTTCTCATTGATTTTAGCTTTTTGTGAATTTTCAAACGTATAATACACTTAGCTGATGGTTTTAGTTATACTACTTTGTATTTACAAGCATATATTTCACTAAATAACATGAGACAAAAGTTAAAATAAAGTTCAAATCATGTTTTCTTTTTAAGGACTAGGTAAATTTTGTCACATTTTTTAATGTTTATAAACCTATTTATTCTGTATCTGATAAATACAACTTAGATTGACTGATATAAGAAATCTTAAATAAGTTGTGTATTCTAAAAACAACAATGTGTTGATAGTAATGTAATAATATAATATTTTCTAGTATTTTTTTTTTTTTAAAGAGTGCTCCATTTTCTTCTAAACACTTAATTTACTATATCTGTCAAGCTCCTAAGATATCAATTTCATTTGAACTTTTATTTCTGAGTGACTGATGTTAGATAAATTCTTATTGTACTTAATTTATAATAAGAAAGAAAGAGAATGATCTCATATCTCTCAATATTTTATTCTCTATTGTGTCAATTTGCACAGTTATAATTGAAACTGGTGTTAAGTAACTTTCTCTAGCTCATTTTTGTTGTTTAACTCATAAAATATTTTACTTTATGCGCAACAATTTGTTTTATGTTACATGATAATTCTGGTAGTTAATTTGATAAGTTATGTACCTTTTTAATGAGTTTTTCTTAAGCGCTTATAATTTATCTAAGTTAGTTGGTATAGTTATTCAGAAATGCACAACCCTTTTTTGATAGTGGCCAACAAAAACTTAAAATGCCGTTTTGGGAGTTAACATAAGTTAGATAATACTGTAACTATAAAAATGTAAGGTGCTCTTAGATCCTAATTGGAAGTAAATGTATAAACGCTCATAATACAAATCATAATAAGATATAAATTGTGAAATTTGTAAAAAATCACTTTTTCCCCGCAAGTGCTGAATTTATGGCATCAAATAAAGACTGAAAAAGAAAATAGTTTCAGGGTTGCATTTAAACAAAAATTGACAACAAACAAGATGACCAATAAAATTAACGAAATTAATTTTCTACTGTTGTATTTTTTCTTGGGCTTTAAAAATAAATAAATACCTTCTTAATTTTTATATTTTTTTAAGACTTTATATATTTTTAATAAATTACAAAAACTGTTTATGCCAAATCATAATATTTAGAGGCCAGTCTTGATCTGCAGGCCATAGGTTGTGCATCTCTGTTATTTAATGTACATATCTATGCCTTTATTTACTTTTTTTACTTCTTATGTTTCAGGATTCCCATATGTACTTGAGAATCTCAAACCTCGCACTACATACAAGTTTCAATTTGCTGCCAGAAATGAAGTCGGTGTTGGTGAATATAGTGATGAAAGAAGAATAGAAATGCCTGCAGAATCAGCTCCTGAACCGCCTAAATTCATTACTCCTGGAGGAAAAGTTAGCACATATCCAGATCGGTTCTCCATTCGATGGACTGTCCCTCTCGATAATGGCAGAAAAATTGATTATTTTGAACTTCGTTATTTTGAAGTAAGATTTTGTTAAAAGTGTCACTTTTTGTATACTCTGCCGTTGTTTCATTATACAGTGGAACCTCGATTTCACATTTTCTGTCGGAAGAGCATTAAAAAACACACAAAGCGGGATAACGCAAAATCGGGTTGTTTTTTAAAAAAAATATATATTTTTCAAAAATTTAAGTGTACACGATGAACTACTTTAAAAAACATGATTTTTGATTTTAAATTAAAAAAAATATAATTATATCCTTCTCAATACTCACTATTAATCCGTAATTTTTTGATGGTTTGCGTTTGCAAATGTTATGGAGTTTCACTAATGTTCAACTCCGTAGCCTTGTAATTTTAAACCCAATCCAGAAGACAAGGGAACTCCAAGTAGCCTTGTAATCTTTTTACTGAAAAACTGAGTTGAGCTTGCAAAGCGGGATTTTCTTTAAAAAGATCATGTGAAATTTTTACGAATCAGCAGAAAATGATGCAGGAAGCGATTTACGTCGTAACAGACAACGTAAATCCGGGATTCCCCCGTATGTGTCACTTGCTAAGTCGGTTGAATTTCTTAAACCCAATTTTTTTTTTTTGTGTTTCATTATATGTTTTGTCCACAGCAATGTCAGTGCATACTTTGACGTTAGATTGGATTTTTTTTTTTTTGAAATGTATATGGAGACCTTGAAATTTATTCTTCCATTTCAGTAGCAACTTTGTTGTATATAAATTTTTTTATACTTCATCATGACGTAATTTTTAAATTTTTTAATTCTTCTTTCTATAATATACATTAATTCTTCAGGCAGAAAAAAAGAATGGTGCTTGGCGAAGAGTAGGAGAGACTGTTGTAAAAGATATTAGAGATTGGGAAAATGCTCCCCTGTTTGAAATGACAAGGTTGAAGCCTAGTACTTATTATAAAGTTGAAGTCAGAGCCAAAAATGACATTGGATTCAGTCAAGATGCCACGATGGTCTTCCAGACAGCAGCAGGTATGGGTGTCATTAATTTTTATGTTTTCAGTCTTTTCTTAATGAATTTTTACTAACTGCACACTTTCTTCTTTACACACCCCTCTTTCACTTTATATGTATTTTGATGTAAAAACAAAGACCTGAAAAAGCTGTAGCCTGTGAAGATTATGAATTTTGAGAAAGAATTAGCTGCAAATAAACAGGGTTAAAAATAACATAGAAAATTAAATTAATTAAAAATTTTTGTTGATTATGATATATATATATCTTTTAGTGTAGAATGAACTAGTTTTTATATATATATACATACAGTAAAGTCCTGATTATCCGAGTTAATGTGGATTACGACTAACTCGGATAACTGAAAAATTCTGTTTAAGCGAAGAGTATAAAAAAAGGAAAGAAAAGGAGTACGTATAAAAGTAATATATGTAACAAATACAAATTTATACGAGTACACGGCATACAGTTCATATTATAATTTAAAAGCGCACTTAAAAAGACTTAAAGATCATACTTTGCAAGAATTAAGGAGTTTTTACTTTAAAAAGTCTTGAATCATTTTTTGTTTAACATTTAGTTACATGTTCGCTTTTCTACGCAATGTTTCACCATTTTTTTTTAGGGATAACAGGAAGGCTGATGTCTCCTTGTTGTTCTATATATTCAATAGCACTTTCGATAGCTTTTAGTCCATCTGTATGAGAGATTTTTATAGGTTGTTTTTCATCATCACTGTCCCGCTTGTTTTCCTGAGTATTTGGAGGATAAAGTTCAGAATTTTTTTTTGCTGGTAGTTTTAAAAATAAAAAATAAACTGAAACAAAAAAAAATCCTTGAAATATTTGATAGTTCGGGTGAAGCGGAAACTTGGACAATCAGGTCTCGATTATTCGGGACTCTACTGTATATATATTTATAAATAATCTGTGGTAGCCTGTAGAATAATTCAAAAATAGTAATTGATTTTGATGTAACAGAGACATTAAAAAAGTTGTAGCCTGTAAAAGTTATGAATTATTATATTTTAAGAAAGCCTTAGCTTCAAATAAATGGGGTAGAAAATAAAGGAAAATTAAATTAATTAAAAATTATTTGTTGATTCAATATATATATCTATACATAAAATTTGTAAATAAATTATAGTTAGTATAGTAAATTCAAAAATAGTTAAAGAGCCTTATAAATTCACAGATTTTGTTGTAGGAGATTAAAAAAAATTAATTATAAAACATAATTTCTCAAAAAATATTACTTATGCACAAATCATTCATTCACATTTGTAAAAATGTTTGTAATTTAAGTGCACTTCACTGAAGCTGCAATTTTTTTAAAAGGCTTCTATGCTATGCACTACCACAAACTCACAAAAGCTATTTGCACAATCACTGCAATATTTTATGCTGCAGCATATCTTGAACAATTGTGTGTGTGTGTTGTGTACAAGTGAAGTTTTCTGTGCCACTATAGACATTTTTTACAATGAATAGAATTCTTGATGATGAATAGAAATGAAATATATCTCTGTTTACAATAGTGAAAACTTTTAGATCAAGCAACTAGGCAATGACCTTTATTGAAAACCTTTTTAGTGAAAAAACCCTTATTTGACTTGCATGAAGAAGAAAACTGCAAGAACTTCTCAAGGTTAAGCCAAAGTTAAGTGGGCTTTAACCCATAATAGAACTATTACTGGGGATGTTTTTGTGTTGACACTGTAACTGATACAAGCATGCAACAGTAAAGAAGTTGGCCAACAATTACTGAGGATGGACTCTCTTAGTCACTCCAACCCATCTTAACATTCAAAAGAGGGGAAGAAAAAAAAACTGATTTGCATATTGTAAAAGTCAACAGTTGTTATAAAGGGTTGCGATGGAAAGGGAATATCATGTTTAGGATATTAGCTCTATCAAATCATCAGCTAAAGTAAGATAAATGAATCTCAAGTCAATTTTGAACCCCATAAAGGCATTAGAAACAAACCTGACAAATTTGCCTTGACACATCTCATACAATTAAGAAAGAAAAAAAGCATTGTAAAACGGAACCATTACATGCTACCTATTTTTTAAATTTGTGAAACCCCTTGTTACTTCCTTTAGTTTAACATTGTAACTGTCTTTTGTGGCATTAACTATTCTGCGTGTTTGCTATTTGTACTTTTTTTTCTGTTCTAGATCCCAGCAAAGGTACTCAGGGTCGCTCTCACATCCACATGCCTGGTACTCTTCCTTGCTGTCCTTTCAATCCCCCGCACGCTCTATAATCTTATATTCTTTAGGCCTTTCTCTATTATCTTGTTGCATGTACCTAACTGCATGACTTCTTACACTATTTGCACTATCTAATTTTTTTAATTTTATTTATTAATTATCTACATTCTTATCTTTCTATTTTCAGCTTAGTGTGTACTATATTTGTGCTGATCAATTAAAACAATTTTCTGTGTTCTACTATTCTAGTCTACTTTAGATGATCTTAACTAATCTGGAAGTGTTTATGCATATATACAGGGTATCTGCGCACCTGGAAAGTCATGAATTTCGGCATTGAGCAAAATTTGTCATGAAATGCCATAATTGTAACTATTTAAAAAAAAAAAAAAAAAACAGTTNTTTAAAAAAAATCATAGAAAGTCATGGATTTAGGTGGCCGAAAAATCTAATTTTTAAAATCCCCGCCCCCTTGATTTTATGGAGTTCTGAATATCTGAATTTGTTACAAAATCCCCACTCACAGTCATATTTTATTAAAATGTAAAAGGTTTTTATCATATTCTTTAAAAATTAGGGTGTTCTTTCAAAAAAATGAAAGGAAAAACATTTCTAGAGCGAATTATGTTTTAATCTTCCGTGATTTCAGAATTTTAATTATTATTTTTTATTTTATCAATTTAAAATTCTAGCTGAAACAAGCCAGTCATTTGCGAATATTTTTTAATTCGAAATGAAAACAGAAAAATCGAGTATTTCTTTCCATTTCGATGAACAAGAAAAGTATCTNAAAAAAAAAAAAAAAGAAAAATCATAGAAAGTCATGGATTTAGGTCGCCGAAAAATCTAATTTTTAAAATTTAACCCCCTTAATTTTATGGAGTTCCGAATATCAGAATTTCTTACAAAATTCCCACTCACAGTTATATTTATATTTTATTAAAATGTAAAAGGTTTTTATCATATTCTTTAAAAATTAGAGTGTTCTTTCAAAAAAATGAAAGGAAAAACATTTCTAGAGCGAATTATGTTTTAATCTTCCGTGATTTCAGAATTTTCATTATTATTTTTTATTTTATCAATTTAAAATTCTAGCTGAAGCAAGCCAGTCATTTACGAATATTTTTTAATTTCGAAATGAGAACAGAAAAATCAGGAGTATTTCTTTCCATTTCGATGAACAAGAAAAGTATCTTTAGAATATAATTCTGAAGAAAAAAAGAAAAAAATTATTTGCTTTTGTATTTTTTTCAGCTATTTTATTGCTTCAATTCTTTTTTTAATCTTTTTAAAATTTAAAATCTATAAATATGAAAATGCAGAGTATAACAGTTTTGATTATACCTATCATTTCAATTAATGTTATTATAATGCTTTTTTCAATTTATTCTGGTGTTTTTGGCGGAGTAGTGACTTCGTTAATTCATAAAAAATTCTTGGAATTAGTCATGGAAAGTCATGAATTTAAAAATCTGAAATGCAGCATATACCCTGTATATTTCAAAAATATTCTTTTAATTTATTTAAGTTAAAAAAATTTTTTATTACTAATATTGAGTTCAGAGTTAGTGAGAAACCATGAAAAATATTAAATAGGCAAAATTTAGTTTTTACTCGATAAATCATGTTAACACTTCCACTTTAATTAGGATTATTTTGTACAATATTATAAGATAATTAATTTTCTAATAAGAATGCTTATTCTATTATTTATTTATTTTTTAAAAAATAGCGTAATTTGCATGTTAGTTTATAAGACAATGCATTTTTTATTTTTTAATTTTTTTTTGTATATATAAATAAGATTGAACCGCGAAACAATTAAAAGGAATCATATGTATTGAAAACTACAGTTTTTTTTAATCATCACATTAATTGTAGTGGATTAATGAAACAACAATGTAATTAAATTAAATTGTTGCTTTTCTATTAATTATTGAAAAAAAAACTTAAATTTTTTGAAATTAGCTTTAGTTGTTGCCATTAATATTAATGAATTTAAGTACAATCAAATATTCAAAGGTAATTATATTCAATGATTCACATATTAAATATTGACTTATTTTAATATAGAAACTAAATTTCAGTCATAAAGCAAACTGTCTTAATTCGCAGGTAATTTTCTTTCTTTAAAAAAATAGCTGAAAATTCAAGAGAAACAGTTGTAAAATTACTAAAAAATTTTAAGATATCTTTTGGACAATGGTTTATTCCAAATGCACATTTATTTCTTCTCATATTTTTCTTAAATTGATAAATCCGGGGAAAATAAGTTGGTTTTATGAATTATATAATTTGCAAAATCAATTTGTATGTACTGTATTTTATCTATAGTATTAAATTATATTTATGCATTTATTTACTGTTATACATTTTACTAGCTTGTAAATGAAAAATATTTATTGATTGCTTCTAAAATTTAAATAGTTAATTTTGTAAATTAATGATTATACGTAAATTGTTTACAAATCAGCAGTTTCGCTTTCTTATACATTTAGATTTATATTCTTATATTGATTCTATTTGTGAATGCTATTTTTGACCAATTGTGTTAGAGACCAGATAAAAGTGGATGTGACATTCTACAATTTTTGCATCTAAATTTCTTAAAGCATCTATTTCTTCTTATCTGTAACTTAAATGCATGTATTTTATATGCTGTTGATACTATAGGGTCTGAGCACGATCGTACGAGCAACGGTTACCATGGTACTGTACCAAGTTCACTGTCCACTGGTGCAATACTTGCCATCATTGTTGCCATTGTACTGGTTATCCTAATTGTCATAGATATAACGTGTTACGTCCGATACCACTGGGGCCTAGTATTCTTTTTACGTAGTAGAGTTTGTGCAAAACCAATGGTCAACGAAAAAGCCAAAGAAGCAGCATTTGAAGATGGAAAAGGGTAAGTTAAATGCTTGTTATTGTTTATATTTCATACATATAGGTTCAAGTTGATATATCCATTCATGTCTTTTTTTTTCCCCTTCTCTTACGTTAAAAGATTTTACTGATGTATTTCAGAAAATTTTCAGCATGCGCGCTTCTCATTATCATATGGCATAAACTATTGGTTGAAAAAATATTAAACTTTGTGCATTTTTAGAGAATATTCTGATATGAAAATGTTTTTAATGTGTGTTATTCATAAAATATTTCAGTTATTTCCTGACAAAGATAAATTTCTTCGCAATCAATGAATTCCACTTAATTCAAAAGAATACTGATTTCGGCAGCCGGATCCTCTGTGTCTGAGGATGAGATTTTTGTTTAAATTTTGATTTAGTTTTTATGTTATTTAATGGCTTATATTTGTTAGTTTTATGATGGTTGTTGTATATTCTAGGTATATTTATTCCTTAAAACATTGAAATATGTCAAGAAGAAAACGAAACAAATTTAATTTAAGCTTCTTTATTTTATTTTCTTGAGCATTTCATGCAATCTTAGTAAGTGATTGATATTTGTGCAGTTCTGTAAAATGATACATTAATATTTATATTAAATGGTTAAAAGTTAATAAAGATAAACAAATGTTACTTATTGCAAATTTTCTGTCTGTGCTTTTGTACTTAAAAGTTATTTTCACTGTTTAAGATTTTTTCTCTAATTTAAATTTAAAAACTAGTGGATAAAATTAAACAACTATCTACATGTTTCTTTTTCATTATTATTTTTAACACATTATTGTTAAATTGCATTATATATTGAAATGTTGCAAAAATATTAAATTATTAATACAATACAAGAGTATGAGAGGACACTGACAAGAAACTGAAAAATGAACTTTTTGTTTATTCACCTCACATGTTGAAAGATGACATACAATTGAATTATACTTTTGCTTTTATCACTGTGAGTTAATAAGTGTTACAACAAAATTGGATAAATAATTATCACACAAATTATACTTATAGTGTTAATAATTATAGTTAATATATAATTATTATATGCTATACTGTTCGAATCATCACAACTATAATTTGTTCCAGTGATTGGCAGTCAGAAAGTTAATGGATGTTAAACAGAATAAAATATACTGATGATTAAAATAATTTAATATTTTTGCAACAGTTCAATATATAATGCAATTTAACAATAATAATGTGTTAAAAATAATAATGAAAAAGAAAAGAAACATGCAGATAGTTGTTCAATTTTATCCACTAGTTTTTAAATTTAAATTAGAGAAAATTTTTTAAAATATTAAACAGTAAACATAACTTTTTAAGTACAAAAGCACTGACAGAAAAACTTGCAATTATTAACATTTGTTTATCTTTATTAATTTTTAACCATTTAATATAAATATTAATTTATTATTTTTAATAAATAAATCAGTAAACTAAGTTTTCTTTTTAAAAAAAAATGATTTTCAAACACTTATTTATTTAAAAATGAATGAACTAAATAAGAAATATATATACTTGAGAACTATGGTAAATAGCTATTAGCAATTTAGTTTCAAAGTAAATTTTGTTTAAATAATATTGCATTCTTTTCAGAGGAAATGATCTCAATACTAACAATGGAGACGTTAAAATTGAGGCAAACAGTGCAATTGTTACTGAGTAAGCTGGCCCTGCAATTTTAATAAAATTATAAGCTGGATAATTATAATTTAATGAAATTATAATTTAATAAAATTATAATTATATTACAGGGCTTGCTGCTCTTTGTTAACTGCGGCATGTCATGCTCTGCATGGTTTTTCCAAACTGTTTTGCTTCTTGCATGTATTGTTCTCTACAGCTGTGTTGTGGAGTCTAATGCTTTTATATTTTAAATTTATGTATCTTTTTTTTACCACTGTTTATTTTTAATCTTAATAACCTTCCAAGTGCCCTTTTGTAATGTTGTACTGAAATTTCCGTGCTACTTTCCCATTTAATGATGTCAACGAAACTGTTTCTTTGATGTAAGAAAGCCTATATATGAAAGTTAAGAAAACGCTAAAGAATTAATGCTTACAGGTATTGAAACAAAAACTGGAGGTCATATCCACTAGATTATTTGCTAATAACTTTAATTGGCAATTTAAACATATATTCTGGTAACTCTTGTTTTAGCACTTCATATGTCTTATAAAAATATATGCATTAATTGAGTTACTAAAGTAAAAAGAGTTGCATTGATGTATTTTTCTGCCATTTGAAAATGGCAGAAAAAATTTTCAATCAAATTAAACAAGATGTAAATGAAGATTGTAATTAGATTGTTCTGTAATTTGGTTATAGAATAATATTTGAGGGATTAGGTACTTATCAAAGAAAAAGAAATCTCAGGGATTGATATGTTCAGGAAGATTTGTTTTTGAGCAAGCTTCTGCTTTTTCAACATATTTCATTTTTCAACAAAATTTCTTTAGTAAAGTCAGCTTTTATAATTAATAAAAATGACTTGCATGCTATATTTATTTCGTCACGCAGTTCTGAAGAACTTGCCTCTGCTCTAAAAGTGAAAATTATATTTTTTGTAAGGTATTGCTAAATTTATATTGCTTTATTTGTAATTTATGTGGTTAATCTAGTGTTTTTATGCTATGTTATTAGTTTTTGATTTAAGTAAATCATATAATAAAATTATTTACTGTAAACAAAAATACATCTTATGAAATGTAATTATTGCATATGATAGTAAACATTTTCAGCTATTTACAGTAAAACCTCTAACCACCTCTATGTGTGACCTCCTCTATTTACGACCACTTTTGGGAGGCACAGAATTTTTTCCAGAAACTTTGATTTGTTATGAAGAAAATCTATTGGAGAGACCATCAAAACCTCTCCCATCGAACGGGAAAACCTCTTCACCTAATGTGGAAACGGTCAAACAAGGAAACACGAAAAAATATCAAAACAAAAAATTTTAACAAAACAAATTAAGTAGATTAAAGTGTATTCAAAATATTTGTGTGACGTTCTTATTTAAAGAACTCTTTTTGATGATCTCTGAAAGAGATCTACAACCTCATGTTGAGGTTAGAGCGCACTAAAGAGGATACTATTAATAATTTATTTTTAGAGTTGAGAGTTAAATATTAAAAAAAAAGTTATTTTAGAAAAAACTAAGCATCTTAAACAAACCTCTTCTCATTTTTTAAAGCTAACTGATTGTTTTGATATAAAATTAAATGCAAACTTAAACAAAAACGTTATTCATTGATCCGGTTTCCATGATATCAACACAAGGAGCATTTCCGCACCCAAAAAATGCCACTGACTAAAATTAAAATAGTTTGCAACAAATCACATACCTTTGATAACATTTTTAAGTCAAATGGAGGTAACCCCTAAGAATGACCAACCTCCATTAACAACGATTTTACTTTGGAAAGTGGTCTCTCCCGAGAGGTTTAACTCTGTTTACTTTTTATGGTGTGTTAAATTTATTGTTTAGTTACTTAAAAATGACTATTTGCTACTCATTTTTTAATTATTGTTTAGCAATATTAAAAATGTTTAGAAAATTATTCTTAATTGAATATATGTTGCAATAAAATGTGTACAGCCACTTGTTATGTATCTAATAATATTGGATTTTGAACAATAAATAATGTAATCTAATTTGTAAAATATTTTTGGGTTATTTCAAAAGATAAAAATTATTGTTATTGTATTTTATAGGAAAGGTGACAACTTTGAAAAAAAGACAAGAACAGAAGTAGATAATCCAGCATTTGAGTAAGTTCCGAATTTAATTTTAATTATTGTTAAAACCATTCTTGGTAACTGTTTTAAAATAAATGCACTGTGTAATTTAAATAAATATAAAAACTTTATATATTTAAAAAATATTTTTTACATTAGTATTGATTTTTTTAAAATTTAATTTACAAAATTATGCATGCTTAATAAAACATATTAAATTATAATTTTTTAAGCATGATATTTCTATTTAAATTGCCATAATAATCAAATACAATTTAAACTGAAGTGTATTGTTTTTTTTGTTATAGTTAAAAAATAAAATATTTTAATATTAAATGAAATTGAAACAATTTAATTTTAATAACTTAAAGCCAGAAACATAGCTTCGAATAGATCTAGATGAGATAAACTGACTGAGGCGGCCTTGGCCGGTAAGAAGCTGTAGTGCCTGAGAAGAAGAAAATAATTATTAATCATTTAAAAAAATAGTATTTTTTCTGAAAGATATGAATTTAAGTACATTAAGTTATTTTGATGTTACCACTAATTACTTAAATGAAATTAGAAGTTTTAAATTTTCCTAATTTCGAAACATTTCTAATCTGTCCAAGTTTAAATAAATAGGTATAATTAAGTAGATACTAAGTACTTATTATATGCACTGTTTCATTGAATCTTCAAACTTAAATGCATATTTTTAATTTTTAGATTAATCACACTTAATTTTTTTAAAGAATGGTTTCACTCTACTTAATATTAAAATTGATAAATTAAATAATCAATTATGTATGCACATACATAAAATTATCTATCAATTGTATGTCACTGAATATGAGGTGAGGGGAGTAGAAGTGGTGTAAACAAGTCAAAGGAGATATGATGTAATATTTTTACTGACTCTTTAGCAAGGAGAAAGAAGCTTTGAAGGCGAAAGAAGAGACTGAAAAGGATAACGATGGGGATGTTGCAAATGAAGATACTCCCATGATTCAAACTTCAGGGTGAGCCTTGGGTCAACAAATCAGTTTGTGCTCGAATAGCTTTTTACCCTTCTCATGTTTGCGTCCACTTCGTATGCACTCTTCTCCCACTATCTATCTCGTTTTTTTATAGGTGTCACTCTTCCATGTGAATATATAACACAATATTATGAGACTAGCATTCATAATAAATTAGTGTAGAATGCCATAGAAAATAGGTTGATTTTTAATATGTTAGAAAAGTTGGTTTAATTTTTATGCCTAAAAAAATCTCAGGATATGACTTTTATTAATGAATTCTAAACAAACTGTTATAAAAGTTTACTATTCATAATAATTTTTCTATTGATAATATTTACTATTGATTAATTACGTTATCAAAAATATTAATAATTTTGTTTTAACCTTTTTAAATGCAGCTTTTCTATTTCCAAAGTAAATAAATAATTATATGGTTTTTAAAAAAAAAAAAAAAAATATTTTTAATAATTTAGTCTTTGAATATTTCAATCTTAAATAATTAATCCCAACTTTAAATAAACTACTTACAAGTATGGTAGTTTGACTGATAATCGGAAAGTTAACCGCAACACTCTAAAATTTTTGAAAATTCTAAGCGTTAAATTTTATCACTTATTTATGTTCTAATTAAAGTTTTAGCCCTTTTACCCAAATTTTTTATTCAATGTATTTTTCATACTTATATCATCATTTTGTGTTAATTTAGGTCAAAATAAGTGAAAACTAATATGTTTAGCATTTTAATAATTTATCGTTATGAAATGCAGCATGAAACACCAATGTCTTTTTCTAAGTTAAAGGTAAGATCTTCCAAACACGAGTCACTTCCAAACAATAACTTTTCGAATTTGCTGTTATTTAGTCCTAAGAAAAAAAGTTATTTATCATTGAAGTTTAATTGTTTAATCGAGAATATCAATTATTGATACATTTTTGAAAAAAAAAATTTCGAGCTACTTTTTTGTGTGGATTTTATACTTTAGTATATTTATTATTCTGATTAACTATTAAATGCTTATATATAAGTTCAAAATGTAGAGAATGTCCCAGTATTGGTTCTGCGTCTAAGGATTAACACTGTTTCTCTTCTACTCTAATTTATTTAATATATGTAATGAAAATTTAAATGTAAAAAAATATTAAATTCGTTTATAGTTAATTAAATAATTAACGAGTAGTTTAGTTATCTAGGGTTAAGTAAGAATTTAATATGAAAGTAAAAATACATAATCCAAGTTCGCATTCAAATTTGTGATAACTTTCTTTAGGTAAGGTTTACATTTAAAAAAGCTTGCAGAGGTAAATAAAATATCTTTTAAGAATAAGTGTACTAAGCCTGTTTTAAAAAATATCTTTTTATTTTTCAATTTTCCTCTTTAAAGTAAAATTTAAAAAAAAAAGAAAAATTCTGTCTATAACTTCAATAACGTAAACAACTTTTATTTATTTTTTTTCTTTATGAAATGTTAGTAGCAATGCATTGTAAAAATATTTTTATTGGAAAGTGACACCTTTTCTGGTAATTTAATCTTTTATAATTTGGAAATCTTTGTTACTTCTCTTGCTGACTCATGTCTTAAGCTGTTTAATCTATTGAAAGGAATGTATCTCTGAGTTAAGTTTGATAGCTTTCCGCCATTTTCCTTTTTGGATCTTGCTTGCAGTCTTGTCTTGTGATCCTGTGTTTTTTTTCTTTTTAATTTTCTAAGTTTGACATAAAAATCACATTCACTCTCTAAATTAGATGTTTATATACAATTTTATTTAGTTGGTCTTCTCTAAAATATTCACTTTTGTTTTCCTTTTTATTTGAAGAAAATAATGTCGTGTACTTTATGCAATTGAAAGTTTATATCTTTTGTGTTCCTATTTTATTATTTTCATAACTTGAATCAATATGTCAGAAATTAATTTATCAACTTTTTGACTGTGTTAAACATTCTCTTTTGATTAATTGCATATTGCTACAACAGTTTTTGTTTGGAGTTATTATAGTTTGTTCTAAATAATTATGTTTTGTTAACATTCCTTTTGAATTGTGTTTTGCACTTAATTATCATACATTCCACAATAATGATGGTTATTTATTATTTCACTTCAAGAATTTTTGATTTTTTAAAAAAATTTGTCTAAAATTTGATGGTTGCTTTGTGGTGTTAAGTTATGTAAAAATACATTTTCCTATTGAATGCAGTTGATGCACTACTGGTATATTTTTCATATTAGGATTGCACTCATTTTGTAACTATTCTTATTTTTATAATATTAGTTTGAATTGCAAGCATATTTTTGAAAACTAGATTTCTGATTAATTTTAAATTTTTCTCTGTGTCTTAATTGTTCTGATTTAGTTTAAAGGAATTGCACTTATTATTTACCTCTCTTCTGACTAAGATGTGTAATGTCTGCGTGTAACAAAGGGAACTTCATATAAATTCATTTTTTCAATTTGATTTGTTGGCATATTACAGATGTATATTATCACACTATTACAGATGCTGCTGATTATATTGTACTTATTATTAGAAAACAAAACCACTCTTTCCTCTGAATTACTTTTTTGCTTTCATTGGTTTTTGTTTATCTAGCCTATTAACAATGCTACTAACATTGATTTGCTTACTAGGTATCTTATTGCTTGACATTAACATCTGCACTGCATTTAATTCTAAAAATCTTATAGTCTTAAGCTTTTTGTAGTTGTATTATTAGTGCATTTATTTGATTATCCAATTACACAAATTATAAAATTTAATTTTGAAATAATTTATCACATTAATATAAAACATTCATTCGTAAAAAGTTTGCATGATAACTAATAATTAACTAAAGTAAAATTAATTTAAAACTAATATTCTTTTTTCGTTTTTACTTTTAAAAAAAAATACTTTCATACTTAAAAATATTTAATATACATTTATCAAACAACTAAAAGTATTTAATGCTTTAAACGTAATCCTTTATAATGTTCTCATATTAGCAATTAAAATAATCAATTTAGGTGAGAAAATATTAACGTTTTTAAATGTTTAAAAATTTAGATGATGAAGGATTCGGTTTAAATATTGAACACCAATATCAAAATTAAAAAGTGATTTATTAAAACATCCTAAATGTATCAAAATTTTGCACCCTTAGTACATGGCTTTAAAAAATAAATGGAATGATTAACCCACTTAAACCAACACATTACATCTCATTTAATGAGACAGATCTTCAAAATATTAACATTTGATAAAATTAATAACATATACACTTGATTCTTTAGTTTTTTTGATTAAACATTTAACTCAAAACAAATTAATAAAATGAGAAGTCTTAAAAATTAAACATAAAATTAACTTACTAAGCAAACAAAAAAGAAATAAATTATAACAATTAAATAAAGTTAAAAGTTATTATTATTTTTTTCTTGAAAATCTAACATTGTTTTGCAATAGTGGGGTAAAAAGATTTTGGATAGTCTTTTCTTTTATTAAAACGTAGTGCTAACACACATGTAGTTACATTAACTTTGGTATTGGTGTCTACTTCTTAGCTGTCTGTTTTTGTGTAATTGATAACTTTTATTACAATTCAATTAAAATGTGTGTTTCTTGTCTCCTTATAGTGCCAAGGACACCAAAGCTGGTGATGGCACAGATGCTAAAAATAAATCACCAAAGGGTTCAAAGTCTAGTATTGCAAAGGATAGCCTAGTGTAGAGCGACCAAAGAAGTATGACCCTTTCACTTTATGTCGGCATAACACTCGATGCTAACATAATCTAAGTGGATAAAAATAAAAACTGTGACTTCATAATTGTTGTTTGAACAGTCGGTACAAAAACTTAAAAGATTCAGCTGCTTATGACACACGAAAAAAAAAACTGAAACTTCATTTTTTTAAAACTTCCTGTTTTTGGATTTGAAGACTGATTACATACATACTATTCTATTTCCAATTTTTCGTTTATAATATGTTAAAAACATATTTTCGAATTTTATCGCGAAGTGAATTTTTTATAGGTATATCATGTATAAAAAATAAAAAAAATTGATACTTACTGCCCATTATTTGGAAGAGATGAAGGACGGACTTGCTGAATGGCAGTTTTAATATTTTCCTTTTATTTGTGACGTTTTATTTCATAGATTGTTGCATTTAATTTATTTTTTTGTAAATGTACCAGACATGAAAGTAAAATTTTATAATTTTAACTTCAATTTGAACCATTTCATGTTCACATCTTAACAAAAGCAATCATTCTCATTTGTTGTTCCAATGCTAAATGCTGAGGCTTAAGAGACATTTTTTTTGCTTTCTGTTATCAATAAGTAAATAAGGTGGCGAAGAAGAAAAAAATGAAGGGCTCCTTAGATTTTGAGAGCAGGGAGCTGTACCTTCTACAACTGGTACTTTTTCATTTTCCAATACTTCTACTTAGAACTATTTTAAAACCTTCTAGTTTTTAATGTATGTGCAAGGTATAGAAGGATTATTTTAATGGTATAATACCCGAAAAAAAAGTATTACTTTCTTGCCTGGTACTTTCGAGAAAGTGGCATTCAGTTTGTATTGTATTTTTAGGCTTTTGTTATGAAAAAAAAATGTATAAAGTCATTTGCATCAATATTTGTTTTATGAGTTTCACATGATTGTTCAATTTGGAACAAGAACTTTGAGATTACTCATTCCTCTGTTATGTGTTTCAAAATCATTCCACAATGTTTTTCTTTTTTTTTTGTTATTGTTTTGTTTGCTTGATTGTGTGCAGATTTTTTTTTAAAATTTTGTGTGCATTTTACCATATTATGGTACACCATGTTTTTTTTTTTTTTTTAGTCTTCTCATTGTTGCAAAGTATTTAGTAAATTTATTTTCTCTAACTCAGTCTTTCTTTTAAATTCCATTTTTTCCCCATCATCTTCATCTCAAATCATCCATTATATTTTCTTTGTTATGTTTTTATGTTTCTGTACTTGTCTTTTGTGATGTACGAGTTGAATTATTTGTTTCTTTTGAAATTGTAACGCTTTGATTTTCATTTTTTTAATGAGTATTTTTCAGTATAAATTTTTAAATCTCTTTGCTTGTAAATAATGTGATTCTTTTCCGCCATTAAAATATTTTTTTAAAAATTCATTCTTTTTTTCATAAAGTTTCATGAAAACATTATGTTTTAGAATGGGCTGCATGTTTAATTGCAGCTCCATTTACTTATTATTTTGCCTGCTCGAAGTAAGATTGGTGGGATTTTTGAAGCCATTTTTTAAGTTTGGCTTTATCAGTGCTCATCACACGTTTTTTTTATGAAAGCATTCAAAATGACAAGTTTGTAAGCAATTTGTAATTTTAATATTGAATCTTGATATCTTTTAAGGGAAAAAACATTCTAAACTTTAAAAAAAAAATTGAAATTACATTGATTACAGATATTTTTTAGAATTTTACATTTCTTGCTTGGAATAAGTTTTAGAATGAGGTTTATCATACATTTGGTAAGTCATACTATCTTTGAAAACGAACATTTGTGCAGCACTCTTAATACTGCTTAGCACGGCTGTAAACGAAAATAAGATACATGATATCATATGTCATTTATAACTTGTATGTGCTGCAATTTCCAGCCTTTTTAGTTGCATAAAACATTATTATATGTATATATATAATGTAAAAAAAAAATAAATTTCAATACAGACCTGGTATTACCAGGGCCTTAACATCGGTATGAGCAGCTATTTTTCAGCAAATGAGGTTATTGAACTATTAAATTGTGTATGTTCTCATATATTGGAATGCTTGCTGCTCTCTTCTTACCTTGTGATGTTGTGTGCATGAATTAAGAATAAAATCTTATTCATAAATGTTATAGTTGCTCGAGTTTATTTCTTAGCATATTTTCCACACTCAACTAAAACTATGCAAAAATTACATTTATGCCATTTGTAAAAATAAAAAGAGTTTTTGATCTACTTGCAGGACATAAGAGCGTAGTCAAAGTATATTTTAATCATATATTGGGTTTTCCAATTATACATAAATTTAGAATTCTTAACAAATAAAAAATAAAGTAAAACTCTTACAACAAAAAAAGGTCGCAGGTTAATTTTTTTAAAAAAAGTAAAAACTTCTGAGTTAGACCTTTTTTCTGTCTTTCACATAAATACTTATTTACTAGTTCATTTAAATGTGTTATCTCCGACAACGATAAAAAAAACAACATGTTAAAGGCTGTTGTTAAACATCCTATGCTTCATAAATTCATATAAATTTTTGTGACCGGCAGCCAAAGTTATTTAAGAATGGTAAACTATAAAAAAATATTTGAAAAGTTCTCTTAAATACTTATTTACGTTTAATTTAATCAAATGTAATTATCTTTGACAGTGATCCAAAAAAAAAGTTGATGGTTGTTGATAAACATCTTATACTTCGTAAATTTATATCAATTTTCCATACCAGCAGTTTAGTTTAAATTTATTTGATACTGGTAAACTGTAAAAGAACATTAGAAAAAGTGCAATTGTAAAAAGTTACATTTTTGTGGAAGATTTTTTTTTATGAAGATAAGTATTTTCAAGACTAATTCTTACCATTAATTAATATTGTTTCTAGGTTAGTAGAGACTAAAAAGTTTTTAAGAACACAAATAGAAATATAATTTATTTGTTTATACCAAAAGAAATAAATACAAAGATATGGAGAGGAAAAAACCTCTTTTCAAGGTTTACAAACATCATGATACACATCAAGGTTTCTAACATCTCGCCAAGTGGGGGGCATATTACTGTGAAGACGATTACCACATTTTCTGCATGGATGAGTAAATAAAGTAGAATAACTTCTAAGCCAAGTCTGAAAGTATTGTTAAAACTTAGATATTGAACTAGATTAAAAAAAATGTGTAATATAAAATAAGCATGTCATTTATTTATCATAAACTGTAACTACTAATTAAACAAAAAAAGTTACCAACTTTCTAAGAAAACCTCTTCTCAAGGTTAACAAACATCTCGCCATATTACAGGGATGAGATTTTTTCGCTTTTTAACCGATTCCCGCTTTTATCTCTCGAATTTCAGCCCCCCCTTTTATATCTCGTATTTCAGCCTTTTTTATTTAAATCAAAAACTCCAATGCTCTAAAAGTTTGTTATTTTAATAAATATTCCTCTTTTTCTGAAAATTCAGTCGTTGGTATAAAATAATGATATTTATTTCCGATTTTCAAAGATAAACAGAAAACTCAAACTACGTATCTGCCAACCCTTTCGCATTTTAACTTATTTTAGCTATTTTCTCCGCTTTTATGCACAGGAAATAAGATTTTCCGCATTTTTACCCGCTCGCCAGATAGCTCGTACTTTCGTAATTCAGACATCGCTGCTTCTGCTTTAACGGCCTTGGGAGACCGCTGGCCGTGGTTCTCCCTTTAAGGTGTGATGTAATAGATTTCTCCTCTATTTGCTCATTCAATTAATCTTGTAAATTTTTATTTATAATGGCTAAACAATACAAGCAAGCCTTTTAGAAATCCCAAGCCCGGAATCTACTTATATCCTGATTCATATTCACGTGATTTTAATATCAAACATCAATTTTCGTATTTATTTACCTGATTTAAAAGGTTCGTGTTGTGATGCTTATTCATGCGATTTAAATATCATACATCACGATTCTTATTTACGAGATTTAGAAGTCCAATATCGTGATTTATATTTAAGCTTTTTTAAAATCCTATGTAGTTTGTATTCAGGTGAGTTTAAAATTCAATGTTGTGATTTGTTTATGCGGTTGTAATATTAAACATCGATTTTCGTGTGTATATGTGATTTAAAAAATAGACATTGGGATTCGCATTCACGCAATTTAAAAATTAAACTTCGTGATTCGTATTTACGCAATCTAAAAATGACGCACCCCACCGGTATGAGACTACGCTGGCGGTTTAACAATTTAACACGCTGTCCGATTATCCTTCGGACGGCTTGGGTTTCTCTAATTGGACTTAATCTTAAAATGTTAGTCATTGGAGATATTTAAAACAATTAAATAGGATAGAGACTTACCATATAAGACCTCACTGCAATGTCGGGAACATTTGGAGAATAAAAATGCAGCATAGCTGAATTAGCGTGCTCAGTGACCTAGAAAGAAAAATCATACTTTTGAAATTACTATCAACAAATTTATTATATGTATCAGGTTTTGTCAAATCACATGTACAATTGATTGATAATAAAGTGCAATAAATATTGATAAGCAAATCAATTGTACCTTCGAATTCATATTTATATACCTATTAACAATGAAAAATTTTATCTTGCATTTATTCTAAACAGAAAATATATTTATAATAATCAATTTAGTGTAAAAAGTTTGCTAGAAAAAGTAGTTTTAATTCATTATAATGAAGGGTGAAAGTACAGAGTTAAAACACTCAAAAAATTTTCTAAGCTAATTTCTCGTTGGACAAGAACCAGTTTATTTATAAGTGAAAGCTTTTATTGTATTAGGTGTTGACAAACATCCCCAAACACTACAACAGCATGGAAAGATTAACTTTTAGTTTAATAACTAATTGGTAGATAGTTTAAAAAATAAAGAAAAACAGAAAGATACATACATGTTCGATTTTCTGCATTCTGTTTAAGAAAACGTTGTTTATAATCACAAAGTTTTAAAAATTTGTTGTATAATTCATCAACAGATGGCGCTATAGACTAAAATAAAATTATATGATGATGATAAATACTAACATTGACTTCACAGATTAAATGTTACCATAGGAAGTTTGCTACAAGTAGATCAAATTAAAGAAGAAATACACAATGAGAGTCATATAAATTGAATTTGAAATGGTCAAAAAAGCAAAACAAGTAGGAAAAAAATTATTTTTTGTTTGGTTTTTATTACCTAGTTCAGCAGTTCCCATTTTTTACGGCAATGGAACATTAAATGATTAAACTTCTCTCACCGAAACCCCAAATTTATAAAAAAAAAAAAGTATAGAAGGATAATTGTTAACATATTGAACAATAATATAGTATTTTATTATAAGATTTATTTCATTAATAACATGAATAAATTTTTTTTCATTGTTTTATCATTAATAATCTTAAATTACATTTTAAGTCATACAGCTAAATTCACAGTCCTAGAGTTTTGTCTAGTCTAGTACTGAATTTGTTTTTGGGTGTAAATACATAAACTGAAAACAAATAAAATGAGTCAAATTACGGTTTTCTTTGAAATGAAAACTAAATAGAACTGCTATAAATGTTGAAAATGGTTATTTAGGAAACACATTTCTTAATTAGCTAACTTAATTTGATTTGAAAAGCCCTGTGGGAAATCGGAACACATTTTTTTTAAATGTATGCATTTTTAAAAATTTATTCTATATATTATTATTAAAAAATTATCTTTCTTTTTTTAAAAAGTGCCATAACTTTTTTATTGGCCTTTCAGTTAGAATAATTTCATGCAGATCATCAAAATATTAAATAAATATTAGTTCATTGATCATATTTAAATATAATTTAAAGTTCCAATAGGGTGGCAAGTTAAAAATAAAATCAGACTTAACAAATGAGACGTTGGATTTTTAAATGATATGAAATTTAATAATTTTAGCAGATATTTATTTTTTCAACAGTCCATTTAAAGTAAAAAGTCATTTGAATAGAGGCCAATTAAGTAAGAGGCTGTTCTAATTTATTCTTGAAATATTTCCAACTGTTTCTCCAATGAAAAAGAAAACCTACATTTATTCTTATATATCAGGGTGGGTAGCCAGATTTTTCATCAAATAAAAAGTACTTTATAAGCACTCAAAAAATATTTATAATAATTTTCCAAAACAAAAAAAAAAAATCATAACTATGATCTGTGCAGTAACAAAAATTGTTTTTTTCTATTGTTTAAAGTTCTTAATTTATAAACATAAAATCAATAAAATTCAAAAACATTTTCAGAAACTTTACATAATCATGATAGAATAACTAGTTTCTGATAAACATTGCAGAGAAAATTATAAAGATCATGAATTTTTTTGTAATTTAGAACGACAATCGATACCGCAAAGAAAAATTCTCTTTTTAAAAGATAAAAAATTAAGCACTTTCTACAAACACCAAATAAAAAAAGCACCTTTAAGGGCTTTTAAAAAACGCTGCACACCCTGTAAATGTTAAATATCTCATTTTTTTTTAATTCTGAAAAATAACAACAAAACTAATATAATACTTATTCAACACATAGTTAGAATAATAAACATTTTAAATACCTTTTGAAAAACATGGTATCGTGATCCAGACCACATATCAAGCTGAAATGAATCAAATTAAATATATCAAATTTTCCTCTCAGATATTATAATCTATAAAGCTTATAACTTGGATCATAACAAAAACCATCAGAAGAAAAAGAAAAGTTACTTTGTCATTTTCTGTGTAAAAATCTTCATTGAATCCTTTAACTATGATCCAGTCAATGATGAGGCCTCTCAACATTATTAAAGCTTTCAAAGTTCGAGCAACTGTCACCTTGAAAATGAAAAAGCCTAAATAATTAGTAATAAAATTTTTTTTAGAAATCTTTTGATATGTTTTGAAGAAAAAAAGCATCTTACAGTGAATTAAATATATAGAAATTATAAACACAAAATTTTCAAAAAATACCAGTGCCGGATTAAGCATACGTGGGGGCCATTGAAATTTTTGGGGCCCTTAGATTAAAATTTTTTTTCTCATATATTTTTTTTAATTCAAATATTTATATATCTTTTCATTTAAGAAAGCATATTTAAAATTAAAATAAATAATAATAAATTAAAATTTACTTTATTTTGTTAAATTAGAACTAAAAAATAATCATAACATTTTATAATCATAACATATATATTTGAAATTGATTTTTTTTTTTTAAAAAAAATCATTGTTTTTCTTAATTTTCAATTTATTTTCAAAAAATAAATTTTAAGGGAGCCCCAGGCCATAGCCTAGTCTGGCGTAATGGGTAATCCGGCATTGAAACAGTAAGCCTATTTTGACTTCAAAAACAAAATTTGAAAACCAAATTAATCTTAGAGAAGTATCTATGTCTCTTTTGATATTTGTGGTAAAGCAACTCAGGAGTGGAGAAAAATAAATGGAAATGAAAATTCTATACATTTTCTAATTTAAATACAGTGAAACCTCCAGGAAAAACCAGCCCTATGTAGCATCTTCTCTATTTGCGATCACTTTTGGGAGGCACAGAATTTTTTCATTGATTTTGTGCAGAAAAAAAAACCTTTAGTAGAGACCATCTAAAGCTCCCACACTGACCGGGACAAACCTCTGCACCAAATGCGGAAAAGGTCAAATAAGGAAACACGAAAAAATATTAAAAACAAAAACAAATAAGTAGATTCAAATGTATTCAAAATATTTGTGAGTGGCTCTTATTTATTTCATGTTGAAGTAAAAGTGTACTAAAGATAATGCTATTTTTAGAGTTGAAAGTTAAATTAGAAAAAAAAAGAAGTTATTTTAGAAAAAAAACTAAGCACCTTAAACAAACCTATTCTCATTATTTAAAGCTAACTAATTTTTATGACATAAAATTAAACAAAAAACATAAATGTTTATTTAAAATAATTCTATCATTCATAATTGGTAAATTTGCTTTAACGCATAATTACATCAATAAAAGTCCATTTTATTATTTTATTTAAATTTTATTTATCTATCCAGCTCTCGTGACGACAACACAAGTGGCCTTTCTGCACCATGAAAATGACACTGAATAAATTTTTAATGGCACTTAAATTATTTGCAAAAATCATGTACCTTTGATACCTTTTTAAAGTCAACGAAGGTAACCCCTTAGTACAACCAACCTCCATTAACGACAATTTTACTGTAAAACAGAGAGTGGTCGCTACCGAGAGGTTTCACTGAATTTTATTTATTTAAATTAAAAAAAATTATTTTCATCGAAAGAATAAAAATTTTGTTTTATTGTAGGTCAAACCGATCATAGTTGGCCACTATGAAATGAATTTATATATGGATTTCTACATATTAAAATGTATCTATTATATATAATTCTCTTACGTGGCTCCCAAATTTTGGCTGTATTTCTTTTCCGCCGGTGGCAACGTTTGCTTTGTTTTGAAAACACAAAAGCATTCTGCCTTTTAATGATGTGTTTCCGATCTAATATATATAATTCTCTTACGTGGCGCCTAAATTTTGGCTGAAGTACTTTGTACAACTAAATAAGATTCTTTTCACAACAATTAAATATTTACTTTATTTTCATCATTCATAGAGAAAACAATCGGCAAAGAATTCTGCTAGGTTAAAGAACATTTCGCTAAAAAAATAACAAATTCTAAAAGAAATAAAAATAAACAACTTAAAAAATAAAAATGCTGTTGCCAGCCATAAAATTTTTTGAAAGTTAACTTAGCAACATAAATCAAAATGACATAGAAGCGCAACTANAATGAGCGAGCAAAGCGAGCATTGGATTGCGAAGCAATCCGAAATGAACTGTGAAAGCAGTTCCGGGGTTTGGTGAGCACCAGCGAGCAGGGGGCGAAGCCTCCTAGTATTTATATAAGTAAGTATATGGGATGTAAATGAATGTAGGTAATATAAATTATAGAATTTTTTTTCTTTATTTTTAGGCTTGTACATTATTTGATATTATGTATAAGATCTTTTTAGTTATAATATTTAGTATTTCTATAGGCCATTACATTTTCCTAAAGAATATTAATAAATAATGGAATTAACTAATACTGCTTTGTACATTTTGTCTTCAAATTTTGTTTTGTCAGTGTCCCATCAACTAGAGGATTGATTAGCAACATTAATATTTTTTTTTCTTTTTTGCAATTATTACATTCATGAAAGGAAATGATTTATCCAACAAGCAATTAACTTTTGGTTGAGAATCACTCTACAGTGGGGTATGAAATTTCCTCTATTATTTTGCCTCTTATGTATTATTTTCGTATGTATTTTGCCTTTTTTATTACAACAAGTATTTCTGTTTAATATTTAAAGATCTATTCTCCTGTTCCATAACTTTGAAGCATGTCACAGACCAAACTGTTTATTTAACCCAGGTTTTTATTTTGATAAATAATATAACAGGACAAATATAATATAACATGCAATAATATAACACGTAAATAATATAAAAGGTATAAATTTTTAAAACACTCATTTATCTTTAAAAAGATTGATTGGGCAGTTTACTTCAAATAGAACAGTAAAAAGGTTAATAAGAATTTTTTTTTTCTAATAATAATTTAAAGTCATGGGCCGGATTAGTTTGTTGACCAAATTATCTATTTTGAAATAATTAATTACTTTATATCTTTTTAAACCCTCAAAATTTTACGGACGCATTGAGGGGTCGACTTATACACCGGTAATAAAATCTAACATTTGTTGCTCATAAAATATTGGTGCATTATAAACAATGAGATAGATATGAATAATTCTATATCAATTTACAGCTTTCAAAAACTATTTTTAAACTATTATACACAATTAACTATTACAAGCAATTATTTTTGCATTTTCTCTCATCATATTGTTTGTACGTATAAAGGTGTCTTTTTATAAAGCAATACACTAAATTAAGTTTAAAAAAAAAATTATTATGAAAAGTTACGATTATTTATACAAAAGTATTTAAAAAATATAACTACTAAAAAAACTTTTAAAACATACCATAAAGCTACAAATTAAAAAATGTATGAATATCATGCGCGTTCGATTTAATAAGGTTTACGGTGCGGTCATTCGAATTCCATCTTGCAATGAATTCTACCAAGTCGCACAAAAAATAGTCTTAACCCTAAGTTTACGCTATTTAAAAGATTTTACAATAACATATAAGCACACATAAATCCACATTTACCCCGAGTGACTAGTATAATTTGACACACTACGTTTCTAAGAGGATTGTAGATATTCCCTGTTTTTTTCTCTTTCCATTAATCATATTTATTTCAAGGTGATTGATTTTAGAAATTTCCATGTTTAGTTTTTTCAGTAGTCAACTTATACACACGACATACTAGAAGTTTGCAATAGCGTAATCAAAAATTGGGGGTCACGTAATACAATAGGTCAATTTATGCATCAAGATATACAGTGTGTTGCATCCAACAACATTTTAGATTAAAAGAAAAATTAAAATTCCTCAAAGATGTTTTCAGACTTGCATTGGCCATGGGGATAAATAGCGTAGCAAACAGATACTATATAAACAAAAAGTTACAAGGTTAAATGGCAATAAAAGTATATTTGATGCAAATACAAAAGTGAGAAGAAAAAAATGAGGAAACACTAGAAACAACCTTAAGATCATCGAACTCACATTTATGTGATGAAGGCGAATTCTCTGAAGGGAAGTGATTTCAAAAACAATAATAATAAAATATTATTCATAAAAAAAAGTTTTATGGCGTTAAAGTGTGTAAGTTAGTGTGTGCAACTTTTTTTATGCAAATGATGAAAACTCATAAAAATTTCAGATATTAGTCGAGCAAATAACTTAAAGCTAAAACTTCTAATTAAACAGTAAAAGGTGGACTCAGACATGACAAATCTAAGCAGCTATGGAAACACAAGGTTGTACAGCATCTCATATCGATGCTTTTTAACCGTTTGAGACTCAAGAAGCGTGATAGCGCTGTTGGGATCTCATGTTGAGAAGAAGTTGAAGTCGCGAGCTCAGATTTACTGAACTAAATATGTCACACAGTACCTTTTAATGTAAATAGTACATTTTGCAATAGGTCGAATAATACCATAATAATGCAATAATACATAACAAAATAAATATTTACATTTCATTGCTATCACTATCATTATCCTCTGAAGAACTCAAAATGCATTGTTTTTTTGTGCTTTACAGAAACAATGTAGTCGTCAATAATATGATCACGTGGATTTGTGATTATGCTTATAGATTTTCCTTTTTGATTCATTCTACCTTTTGGGGGATACACCAAGTTTAATAAAGTTAAACAGTAAATCTAGAATAACTTTTTATTTACTTTTTGCGTTGCTTTGTCTAATCATTTTGAAACACACAATTATTAATGATGAGAAACACTTACGCAAGAATACGTCCGATCGCTTTGCAAACTGCAATAAATGTGACGGAGCGATGAGAAAAAGACATGTTACCTAACAAATATAAGAAGCGTTATTGCTCCGATTGGGATTCATCGATGTAAAGTAAACGGAATGCTATCATGCAACTGGGCATTTCTCGACATAAAATAAAACAAGTGCCATTGGGCTGTTTGGAATTCTTCGACAGTGCTTTTTAAATACCCCTTGGGACTCAAACGGTCAAATACCGACAAAAACTAAAACTAACTTGGATATATCTCGATAACTTAGCTGAGCTCCAAGAAACAAATAAAGGCTTACGAATTTTAGAAAAAAAGAACTAATTCAGTAAAGATGAACTGCACTTGAGCCACTTTAGTGTCACACCTTTTTGGGTGCCTGCAAAGTTCAGAATGTTACAGAGCTGTTGATTAGGGTCATCACACTTTAATTCTCTGGAAAACTAAGATGACTCCTAAGTTCAAAATCTCCAACTTAATAGACGAAACAGAGAGTATTAATTTTAATTGTTTGAATTTTTTAAAATTATAAAAGAAAAAATATTTATATAAACACTCATTTTTAAAAATAACAAAATTTTTTAATTTTTATACCTGCTACTTAATAGAGATAACTACACAATAAAAAAATGTATCCAACAAAGCGATATTCAAAAGATATATAAACAGTTTTGCAATAGTAAATAAATCTCATAGAATAAAATAAAATATAGAATAAAAGCATCATAGAATAAATATCATAGAATAAAAGCAAATAAAGCTGATAGATTAAAACAAATGATACAAGTTAAGCAAATAAATCTATTATAAGTTAAAACAAAATTATGTAATTTAAATACCAAAATAATAGTAGATGATCCATAAGGTTTCAGTACTTGTAACTGCATATCTGGAAACATGCGTGTTAATTGAGTAGTTGTTAAGTCAACAGTTCTAGAAAAATAAATAAATATGACATATCAATATTTTTAACATAAAAATTAGCAAGTGAAATTTATATTAACACAAAAATTATGTAAATGAGCTATTCTGATAGACTATTTGTGACAGTTTGGGATCCATCCTTAATGATGATCTGAAGATAATATTGATGCATAAACGCACTATATTACAACAATTTATATCGAAGAGCAGATTGCACTATTATTCCCTCAGTCTCCCCAACATGTTTCCTAACCGATTAACCATGCATGGACATATTCAGCTCTGATACTGCCTGGAACATTACATTATTGGGTTTAAAAAAAAGTAATTTTAGTTTTTCAATGTATATATATATTTTTTTAATATAAAAAATGAACTCTAACCAACAGTTAAACAAACTTCAAGACAAACTTTACAATTATAAATACCCACAAGACTTAACCAATGCATAATAAATTTTAACCCACTGGCGGTTTAGCGAAAGAGCAAAATTGGGATAATGTTTCTCCCCTATACACTATTTCTCTATCGAAGTACAAGAAAAAACTGGTTTTGCTATGCGGAGAAGACCGCAAGTTAAAATACGACTTTTTAATGCAGAACCGTCAGTGGGCTAAATGAATGTGTCAAGAGAAGAATAGATGCACCAATGCAACCTCACCTGCACAATATAAGCCTGTTGTGAGGGAAAAAAAAGAAGTTACATCTTAAAATACACCTATTACACCCATATCAAGGAGGAATACCGCTCACAGTGAATAGAATGTGTTAAGAATAACTTTTATTTTTCACCCATGAATGGCAAAAGGGCCGAACAGTTCTAAAATACTTTTTTTTCAGAAGTGTTGTTGTTGTTGTTAATTTACATCGCATTAGAGCTGCACATTGGGCTATTGGCGACGATCTGGGAAACATCCCGGAGGATGATCCGAAGACATGCCATCACAATTTTGATCCTCTGCGTAGGGGATGGCACCCCCGCTTCGGTAGCCCGACGACCTGCGCGCGAANACCTATTACACCCATACCAAGGAGGAATACCGCTCACAGTGAATAGAATGTGTTAAGAATAACTTTTATTTTTCACCCATGAATGGCAAAAGGGCCGAACAGTTCCAAAATACTTTTTTTTCAGAAGTGACATTGGGATTTGAACATTTGCTGGCTCACCCTCTCTGGTGTGATAGCGTGAATCTCTCTCTCTTCTTTTTAGGATAGAATGGGGGAAGCAGTCATTTGTGCTAAGATGTAGAATGTTCTTGATTTTCAATGTAATTTAATCGAAAATGTATGAATTCGTCAACGAATTTAAATTTATGCATAATATTGTGCTTCAGTTACTTAATGCTGTAGAGCAGGGGTGTCAAACTCGCGGCCCAGTCAATATATCCAAAGCAAAGTAAAAATAAAATAGAAATGTAAATTAGAAAGGAAACTAGCATATAAAATTATAATATACTTTATTTATAAACTATACGGATAATTTTAAATTGTACACACGAAAATGTAAAATTCTAATTGGCTTGCGGCATCTGCCATTCCAGGGATACTGCATCTTATCAAAAATACGCAAAAAAAATTTCAAATCTTAGAACAGAATTTGAAACAAGGTTTAAAGATTTTAATTCTTTGGAAGACAAATTTTGTTTGTTTTCTTCGATTTTCTCAATAAATATAGATTCAGTACCCAGTAATATGCAAATGGAAGTGATTGAGATTCAGTGCGACTCAAATTTGAAGACAAAATTCATTGAAGTGGGTGCCCCTGAATTTTACAAATATTTACCGGCAAGGTTTGAAAATACTCGAAAATTCGCATATGAAATTATTTCCATGTTTGGAAGTACTTATCAGGGCGAGCAATTTTTTTTTCTGTTATGAATGAAAATAAATCTCCTGTCCGAAACCATATTAATAGCTCTCATTGGGTCAATTTTGAAAGTAGTCCTGGCCAATAAAATTTCTCCCGAAATAGGAAAGATAGTAGCAGAGAAGAGATGTCAAACAATTTTACTTTATATATGCTTAATACAATGTACTATTCAAAATAAAAATATTTGTTTCTGTAAACACTGATTTCTTTTAAAACTTTTTTTTTTTTGAGCCCCACTTAAAGTTAAGCATTGTTTATTTGGCCCAAGTTTGCTTTTGAGTTTGACACCCCTTCTGTAGAGCATCAATTAGCAGAATGTTCTTGATTTCCAATCTAATTTAATGGAAAATGTATGAATTCGTCAACGAATTTAAATTTATGCATAATATTATGTTTCAGTAACTTAATGCTGTAGAGCATCAATTTGTGCTTCAAAAAAGATCACCCCATGTGCTATATTTGGACTGATTAATCTAGAGTTTTAATAAACTGGAATGCAAGTAATTTAATATTTTGTCTCATTATTTCAATGCTTCTTTTGTTAGACCTTATTTTACTTCTTAAAATCAATCTTTTACCTTAGAGAATCGTGAAATTTAACTACCACTATGCTTTCCTTGTGTGATTCAATTCTAGCACATGTTTTAGTCATGCGGTGAATTATTTTATTTTCCTCTACTCTTTAGCATGCATCATATTTTCATGTTGAAAATATAATTTTGATTACTTTTGGAGAAGTTAATTTTTTAAAAATTTGGTACCATGCATACTTTGATCCAAAAAAAAAAACTAATGATTTGAACAAATTGATTAAACTGATATTCTAAATTATTATACCGCATTTATCATAAATATAAGCTAATATTATTTAACACTCGTATATCAAAATTAGTGAATGTATGACTTCGCAAAGGATAAAATATTTAACGTTAACTAGCAGTAAGTATTATTTAGTAATATCTAGTAAGGCCAGGCCACTGTTATGACCAAACTAGTATACCACATTTAGTACCAATCAAATATTTTCTAATTTATTTGATGACATTTTGCCATCTTTCTCGTAACTTCATGATTCCATACTCTTAGAACTACTGATCCTTATCAGCAAAAAACTCAACTTAAGGCCTTGATTTAAGGTCATTGCTTTTACTGAAATTTTTACCATTTAAAAAGTTTTGAAAATTTCGAAGTAAATACTCCAATTGAATCACAAAGAAATCATGTTTCACCACGAGAATGGGAGGCCTCATAGATTTCAAGCAACACTTAGAGCATTCAGGGCCGGATTAAGCGTATGCGGGCCCTAGGCCATTCAAATTTTTGGGGCCCTTAGATTAAATTTTTTTCTTGTATATTTTTTATTTATTCAAATATAAAAATATTTATATATCTTTTCATTTAGGAAAGCACATTTAAAATAATAATAAATTAAATTTTACTTTATTTTATTAAATTAGAACTAAAAAATAATCATAACATTTTGAAAAAATTTGAAAAATCATTGTTTTTCTTAATTTTTTGAAATTATTTTCAAAAAATTCATTTTAAGGGGGCCCCACTTGTCTGTCCTAATGGGAAATCCAGCCCTGACAGCATTATTAAAACTTATTTGGGAAGTGATGTCCCCCAAATAGTCTTGACCTTGCCCCACTGGATTATTATTTATTCCAAAATTTGCAAAATTTAAAACAGTAAAAACTATGACCATTGCCCTTGGTTGAGTTTTTTGCTGATAAGGATCAGAAGTTCTAAGAGTCCTAGATCATGAAGTTACCAAAACGGATGGCAAAAGGTCAACAAAAAAAATATTTGGTTGATTCAAATTCATTTTTTAAATTTATTAAATTTTGTATTAAAAAAATAAAGTTTTATTTCCCATTGGAAAACCAAAATTACTCTCTTGCTAGCCCATTAAAATGGATTCCGAAAACTAAGACACAGTTGGAGGAAGTGCAATCTGATCAGATACCTAACTTTTGACACCAGTCAAAAAAATATAACACGTACAGTTAAATAAATGATAATTCTAAATTTCTTTGAGATTTCTCATATAATACAAATTACATTTTCTTAATTTGTAGTTTTCTGCTTCTATATCGAGAGTGTTAATGTTTATTTATTTTCAACTATCATGATCATGTCAGTTTTTTTAAAAGCTATGTGCATTAAATATCATAGCAGTTTATTCAAAATAGAAGTAGATAGAAAGTGTTTTAAAATTTTCCAAAATAACTTGTTCAAGTAGACAAAAATATGTAAATAACACATAGCATGAAAACTCAATGATTAAAAAAGAAAATGTTAGGCCAAACATCTCAGGAATTTAAAAACTGTTTTTTTTATTTTATTTTTAAATATAAAATTGGTATGTAAGGAAATTATTTACTAATTCTTACTAAAATTTTAAAAGAATAAATATTTAAAAAGAATTATAACTTACTGAGGTGGAAGGTTATGACCTGTGGGCTTCGGCCGAAACCGCTTTGGTTGAAGAGGAGTGAAATAACTTCGCTTGAGAGAATTTTGAGTGAAAATTGTATTGGCATGCATACTAAGTTCTATTGTCTACAGAAAAATAAAGTAAATAAATATTTCACATAGTCAAGAATACATTTAAAATTTTAGATATTTTTAAAAAAGTATAAATAGATATAACAGGGTTTCCACTGAAATCTGGAAAAAAAAAATTCCCTGTGTTTTCCCTGTACATATTATACACAATATATTAAGAGAAAACAACAATTACTGTGCTCTTGTGTGAGCTATATCGGGCTAACTCTATTTATTAATTTTCATTGCTGGAAAAGCAGCTGAACAAACTTAAATAATGCTATAGTAAATGAAATAGTTTAGTATAGCTAAAATATCATAGTTAAATATCCCATAGATTACGCTTTGAGTGGTCACCATTTTTTAAATTAAGACAAAAATAAGAAACAAAATTCCCTGTATTTTTCCAGTTTGTAAAGAAAAAATCAAAATTCCCTGCATTTTCCCTGTTATTTTAGGTGATTTTTAAATTCCCTGTATTTTCCAGGTTTTCTGTATTCTCCCTGTGGAGTGGCTACCCTGTATAATAGTAAGAGCATAAAGACAATTATTTAGTAATCTTGGCTGAATGGCAAATTTATTACATACACTATTAAATAGTTCATTTTTGTGAACAAGGAGAAAATATATAAAAAGAAATTTTGTTGTCAACTTTTAAAGTTAATGAGCCTAATAAATTTAAGGGAAATGCTTTATTAATTATCTGCAAAACTATAAGAAAAATAATATGTTAAAATGTTGTATGAGTAAATACTGAGGGTCTTGGGTTGTTTTTCTAAGGCTTTAAAATATTTGACAATAGAAATGCTACGTTCTCAGATAAAAAAAAATAAAAAAACAGCAATTAAGCATGTAAATCCTGAATGTTCACAATTTTCGTCAAAAATTCTTTTGAAAGTTGTAAACTAGTCCAAATACCTCCCCCCTCCAAAAAAAAGAATAATAAATAATAGAGTAAAATTTCAATAATTCAAAAAACTTAAAAATTGCTTTGTCTGTTAACTTTAACTTTTATTATTTTATTTCTAAAAATGAGATTACAATTAGAAAAAAATCAGTGATTTTTTTAAAGAAAGTAGAAAAAAAATAATGAAATTCTCAACAAAAAAAAAAAGAATTATTTGATACAATTATATTCGACTTTATAATAAGCATTACTCCATGTTTAAATTGTGTTTTACAATTTTCCTCTATATTGTAACAAGTTTTGTACTTTTCATTTTATTTTTGCATCAAATAATATAAGGGCGTGCCTAGCCTTTTAGCAGTATATTAAAAAAAATGTATATAAGCTGTTTTTTTTATTTTTTTAACCAAAATACATTATCTGTATTTCCAATCAAAATATATTAGCTGCATTTCTAAATTTATTGTTGGGAACACTCTTGAAAGCAATACAATAAGAAATGTTAAGTATTACAAATGAAACAATAAAATACATCTTGCAACTATAAAATAAAGGATATTATAATAACATAATTTAAAATACATAAACTTCACAAGTTGCTCCGATTTTGAAATTTTATCAGCTTCAATATATTTTACGAACATAATAATAATAATGACATAAAGGCACAAAACTACAACAATGTCAGTGGCATTACAGGCAGGCTAAAATTCTGCACTGAATTAAGTTAACTATCGTGAAAATGTGAAGTCAAAAGTTCCATGAGAAAAGAAAAGAAAAACACTTCACTTTACAAACCCCTATTGAAGATCCCTAACAGAGAAGGAAAAACGGAGAAAGAAATACTTCAGTAACAAAGTATAAAAGACAAAATTTCTGAATCAATATACAGAGAACACTTAAAATAAAAATTAAATTGCATCACGTAAAAATGATTCATTAGTTTAAAATTACTTACTTTGTCAAACCACCGGTGAGATCTAATTAGTTCTGAATATAAAGAAGTTTTTTCGTAAGCTGGATCTTGACTTAGTAATCCAGAGTTCCCTAAGTTCATTGGTGGATTAGGTGATCCCAAAAGAGTACAAGCAGTTTCCAATTCTCTGAAAAATGCAAATTAGAAAGGAATAATTTATGTTGATTTATTAACAGAAAATATTAGCTATATTTTATTGAGAAAAAAAAAAACATAAAAATTCCAAATGAAATTTTAATCCATAAAACAAATTGGAAAACAATATTAATTGGAGGACAAAATTCAGGCCACTAATCTATCCTCATGGCTGATTTCAGTCCACAGGATTTAAAAGTGGAACCCAGGTGTGTAGCCAGGACACTCAGGAATACGTAGTCACAATTGTTGTCATCTTTGGTGGAGACAAGTATTTATTTATTATTATTTTTGCTAAACCGATGAACATGAGTACAATAACTTTAAGTGAGAGAAAGGATTTAGAGCTTAATGTAAACATATAATAAGAAGTTAACCTTATATTCATCTCAGATTTTGCTTTGACAGTTTTTAGATAAAATACCCAAGATTATACAGAAAAAGAAGCTTTTTCTTCCATTAGAATGCAAACAAAAACACAGTTGAAGAATACTAAACCTCAAAATAAAAAAAATGAATCGCTTCAACTGCGAAAAAGAAGTCATTAACATTTGTTAGAAAAAAATTAAGAATAATTTATTTTATCAAAGAATAATTTCTACTTGTATTTATGGTTAAGGTGTAGAATCAGAGGCTTCTTGATTTAACGATAGTTATTCTGAAACCCTGTTTTTGGTTACCATATTTATTGCTGTCTTTGCTTTCATTGACGTCACTTTCTGGTTTCGCAACTCTTGTTTACCTGAATTTGATTTATTTTTAGATTAATATATATATATTCGTTTGTTTTTCAAATCAAATATAAGAGAGTCCCTTGATTGTAAACTATCATAAAAATCTATTTAAAATATAAATTTTGAGAAGATTTCTGTAATGTGACCTACGCCAAAATAATCATCAAGTCTTGGCCACTTCTGAGCAGTGCCCCGCAAGAAACTAGAAAAAACAACACAGAAGAAGACCAACTCCAAGGGTATAACTCACCCTACACCGATACACAATAGTCACCCCACACCGATTTAAGCTTTATTTATCTGAGTTCCTAGCCCGAAGGGCTATCTACTCATTCATCGAACTTAGAAATTACATGAGGGAAGAAAGGGACTAATGATAATATACGCAAGCGTAGCTGAGATAAAAACAATTTATGAATAAAACATTGGATATAATGAGAGTAGCCACCCCACAGGTAAAATCTTCTACAGCAGTGTTCCCCAACCTTTTTATCACCGTGGACCTGTAAATATTTGATAATTTTAACTCGCCCCACTGAGGGGAGGGGGGGCGTTGATTGCATATATTTTAGATTATTTTGATTTATTAATTTTAATTTAATTGCATTTAAACATAACTTCAAAAAAAAAAATACAGTTACACCAAAAACTAAATATAAAGTTATTTAACATTTTAAGTCACTAGAATGTTAAATCAAAGAGAACCCCTAGCTTGCTTCTCTGCAATGAGACGGTTCCATCTGGAAGTAATCGAAGACACTGATACATTACAAACATTAAAAAATTTATGTCACTACCTTCGGGGGCCCCTTTTTTTTAAATAAATAAAATTTTAATGGAACACAGATATTTTTAATTTGAGGTATAAACCTAGGAATTTAAATTCAGTTTCATTGAAATGGGCGGATTTGATCCACGGGGGGTTGGGGAACACTACACACTACAGAGCGGCACACTTCTCTTTTTACGGATATCTAATCGAGGAGAATCATGACCAAATCTAATCGTTTACCCCATACATCTGCACACCTCTAACATGCGCCAATAAAGTCACTTTATTAATTCGCTTGATGCGAGTTAATAAAGACAACAGTAAATATGTCATAATTGTCATTTGTTTACCAATCTTGCTCATTTGAGTATTATTCAATGATTTTTAATTTTAACATTATGCAAGTATACCTCATTCGTACTCTGACGTTTGTTAATATGCTTTGAGATTCATTGATGAATTTTTCTCTTTCTTCATCGCCAAATGCAACTGTGGCTCCGTCACCTAAATATTTGAACACTTCCAGTACAGTACTTCTAAGAGATTTAACTGCCTTTAATCCAGAGTTCAATGCATCTAAATTAATACCTAACTCAACCATGATAATTTACAGAAATTCTTCTAAATAAATATATATTGTAGCTCATGTATGTTCAATATGAAATAATATCGTAATAAAAAACAACGAAAAACTAAATTAGCTTCAAATTTCAAGTTCTGCTTTCTTTCCTTTTCTTATTTGTTTACTTTTTAACCAAACAATTAAATGATACGGTTGCAGTTCAAAATCGTTTGCTTAAATGGCTTTTAAGAAAGCATCGATTGTACAATAATCGTTATCATATTGGAATCCAACTCATTTGTTTACAGTTTGGTTTCGAATTTTACCTGGTTTTTACTTTTTGTTTCGTTTTATTAATCCTTAGTATATTGTTTCTTTTTTCTCCTCATTGAAGATGCGAGTATCGAATTAAAACAATTTTTGGTGTATAACATATCTGTTTATCTGGATATTTGGTATGGGTTATATTTTCTATGAAATAAAAACATGTATAAAAAAAGTTGTTTAATGTCAAAATATGATTTTGAATGTTCTTATCCTCAAAGTAAACATTGTATAAAATGGTTAAACCTAACTATAAATCGTAGATATAGAGAAGTAATGTTATCAATCAACTGCAATACATTTAAGAATTCTTTACGCTTTTTTTTATATTTTAACAGAATATTACTTTTAAGATTCATATAATATTCGCATTTTAATCACGTTTAAACAATAAACTAAATTAAAGACTTAAAACTGCTTGACAATAAGCAATTAAAAAGCCTAAAAGTTTATTTTCTTATTTTATGATTCATCAAAGAAAAATTCTGTTGCATTTGTATCTTATTGATTTGAGAATTTTTCGTTTCATCATTGCTTTGCAAGAATAGAATTAAGAAAGGAAAAAAAATTGCACATGATAAATCTGTTTTTAAGCTATAATCTATTTTTTATTTTCATTAAATGCTTTTGCTAGATTGTAGAGTTCTGAAATCTATCTTATTGGTTAACTATAGTACCATTCATTGTAGAATGTTATCATGATTAAATAATCCCGTGTACTTAAATTTTCAAAACCTTACTTTATGGAAATAAAGCATAACAAATATATATTTAAGGATGTTCATAGTATATATTTAATTTGATATGCTTATCATTATTCTAAGCATTTAACTGAAAGCATTAATCAATGTACTCTAAGAAATTTTAATAAATGTTGCAATAATTTGATTATATAAGAGGAAAAATTTCTGCATTGATACTTGTGCCAAAACAATCACCACATTTTGGCTACTCCCACATAGTGGCTCCAGAGAATCTTAAAAGAAGACTAACTTGTAGCCAGTAGAATATATATTAAAAAAAAGTTAACAATCTCTTTGGAGTCTTTACAATTGTAGCTGGAACAAACAGATATTGTTACAAAAATATCTCATAGATAAATTTATTGATGTAAATAGTTTGAATAGTTTTGTTTTGATATTTTACCTTTCAAAATATTGATGTATAAAATTTAATTTATAAAATAAAATATTCAATGGTATAATAAATTTGAATATTTTTCTTGTGGGAACTTATTTGCATAAATAAATTGGTCCACATTGTTCTTATATGTGTTTTTATTTTAAGATACAAATGAATTGTTTTAGATAGTTTCTAATTTATTAAACAAATTATTTGTTGTTTCACTACTTTCATGAACTGCTTGCTAACTAAAGCAGAAAAATGAGACTGTTTTTATAGCAATATATTTAGTTCTGTAGTATGCTTAATAGTTATCTTTATCTTATACTTCCGACAAAGTACCAATGAATCAAACAGAATAATTCCATAAAGGCTTTAAACATGTATTTCTTAGTGTTGTTTATTTAATGATTGAAGTTGATTTATTTAAATAATTTCTTTTTTAAAATAACTTTTATTGTTATTTACATTTATGCACTGTAATTTTTAAAAACCGGTTGTTATGTTAGAGACATAACGCATAGCATTACATTTGTACCAACCTGTAACAATAAATTTTTAAATGTATGAAAGTTAATAAAAAATGGATTGTAAGTAAATGACACCGAGAATTATTTTCACAAAAATTATTAAATCTGTTTGACTTTTTTTTTAATTTTACATTATACACATTTAAAGTGTGCAAAAGTAAGGTCTCTAATGGCAAAATTATTTAGAAATAAAGAATGCTTAAAAAAATAAACTTTAAATATAAGCTGTGTCATTTAAAACTTTGATTGCCTAACTGAGTGCAATAGATTGCTAAATTCTTGCAACCTCTATTTTTATATTTTGTTTTCAAAAATATTATTGGTATATATATATAATCCGAATTGATTATTATATATATATATATTGCTGCTGCATAAAATATGGAAGTAAAACAAATATTTTTTTAATAATATTTGAGCTATTGGTCTAAAAGAGATTGTGGAAAAAAATAATTTTTCATATTTTGTATATATTAACTGTAAGCTAAAATAAAATTGTTATTAATTGGTCTGGTCTTATTGCATTTAGATTTAAATCATAAGTTTTAAAATTATATTAATATGTGCAACGTTAATTGCATATGATCGGGAATTAATTATAAAAATCGTTTTAAAATATATTATAGTTAATTATAAATCTGTTTTTATACATCTTAAGAAGAGTGTTAGACCTACTTTGGTCCAATTATCAATGATACTAACAATATTTCTGAAGAAGCTAACTCCAGGATACAAAAAAGAAATGAATACTTTTACTTAGATCAATTCTTATTCTAGAGCAAATGTCTTACTAAGGAAATCAAGTTGAAGATTTATAATACAGTTATTACACATATAACTACATTTGGCAGTAAAATTTGTGCTCTGACAAATGAAGACGAATTTAACCTACTAATCTTTGAAAGGAAAATTAGATTTTTCAAATCAATTAAAGAAAAATAATACACAGGAAAAAATAAGATACAGTAATGAACTCAACCATTTAATCAGACGAAAAATCGTAATTCAATATTTTAAATCCAGATATTTGGCACAGCGGGAGCACATTGAAAGATTAAATGATAATAGAAATCTGAGAAAACTTTTAAATTAGAAACCTTTAAACTAGAGACCAAAAAAGAGATGGTTAGACAAAACCATCTAGAACAGTGTTTCTTAATCTTTTTGATATTATGGACCCCTTTTAAAAATTTTTAAGAAGTCACGGACCACCCCCCTGTGAAAAAAATAATTGTAAAAAACATAAATTATTAGAAAACATTTAATTTTATTATTTTAATTGTATACAAAATTTTTAAAATTAAAATTTTTAATGTGAAGGTTGCTGCTGCTTTTCCTTAATTAATAAATTGAATTGGGGGATGGTTTTCGACAAAGCAACGTGCATATCATGCTCAACATTCAATCGATTTGGATGTTATGTTTTTATTGTCACAAGTGTGGAAAATCTCTCTTTGAAAAGATACACTGTAGCGAACGGAATTATAGCTGCCATAGCTCGCTTTACAAGCAATGGGTAGACTTCCAAACGTTTTAAAAATTAGGAGTACTCATGGACCCCTTAGAGGTTCATAAACCACAGGTTAAGAAACCCTGATCTAGAATCTAACCACCTTTAAAGGTGAAAGACAAAAATATGAAAGTCTAGAAGGATATTGTTTGTCAAACCAAGACTCACAGTGGGCTGTAGTGCTGTATAAGTAATCGTAATAAAAATATCAAAATAACTGACAATTTCAACTTGAGTCCAATATTTTTTTTTACCAGTCCAGTACCTTAATGGCAATTCAATAAATCTGTTTTCAACATTTAATAAATTGCCACTTATGACTTAAGGTTTCGAATGAAATTTTATTACTTTTTGAAGTTTCTATAAACGTGAAAACCAATGTATATAACCATAAAATTATATGCTATTTTCAATAAAAATCGCGTACTTACTTCCCTATGTGATAATTTTTTTTTTCCTTCTTTATTTTAGACTTGGATGGATAACCAAAACTCCTGCTTCAGGATGGCAAATCAGTTTTTAAAGTCTTTATGGGATATTTTATTTATAAATATTTCATACATGTTTAGACATGCAGAAGAGTCCTATCGTAAAAATTCAACAATGGCAAGTCTCATCAACCAAGTTCTATTCTTTATGCTGTGTGATTGCTGGTTTTGCCCTGAAGACCGCCTGACAAGTTTATATAGCCTTTTATTTTATAACGTCTTGGGCTACCTTTTTGCTTACGCAGACCAACTTTTAAGTTTACAGGATTACTCACCCGTCATCCGTGTCTCGGAACACTCAAATATTAGACATTTAGCTATGACAGCCACCAAAGTTGTGCTTGACCTTGCAAAAGTAGTAACATTTATCATTACAGGGGTCTTTGTTTTACTTGTATTTGGTCTCGAGCAAGGATTGGAACATTTCAACCCTACGTGGACTTATGTTGTTATAACACTATTTTATTATGTAATTACAGAACCCACTTGTCAAAAAAAGGGGACATCTTTGCTAACTATGTTGCAAATAATCTACTTAGAAAACCTTGAGCAATTATGGTATCCTGTACTAATAAGAGTATTTTCATCATTTACATCTCTTTTGATGATAATAATAGCTTGGTTCTGTACAGGGGGTGGGTGGGTTCTTATGTTCTCTTCCGGGTACATTAATGTGTATTTATGCCTCAAGGATATGGGTGACCATTGGAATAAATTACTGATTGAAAAATCTGTTTTAGATAAATACCGTTATGCCACTAAAGATGAGCTGAATGAGAAAGATGATGTTTGTGCAGTATGTTTACTATCCATGAAAAGAGCTAGAGTTACCCCCTGCCAACATATGTTTCATGGGGAATGCTTAAGAATATGTTTAAAAACTCAAACGGTTTGTCCAATGTGCAAACAAAATTTATAATTAATAGAAAATTTACATTATTTTCTTATTAGTTTGTTTACACAGCAAAACTTTTGTTGGTACTACTATAAATAAAAAATTGAGTGAAATTATGAATTTTCTAGATTAGCATTATTCTTAGAAAAGTGCCATATTTTTTAATTCTAATCAGTGCATCAAGACATAAATCAGTATTACCGGTGGCGTAATTTTAATGCATGTTTGAAGGGGTTATCGATTATCTCCTTTTAGTATATATATAGTCTAAATGTTTGAATTACAAAAAGTGAATAATGAAAACTTTTTTATATCTACATCCTACTTAAAATACAATAGTTCATTAATTAAATAATGTTTAATATCGGAGGAGGATTTGACCACCGAACTCTCCCTGAAATTACGCCACCGAGTATTACTCTGCTTTGTATGTTAAGAGCCATGTAATCAAATTTATAATAAAGGATTAATTGGAACCCAATCTAAATCTCATCCTAATTTCAGTGGCAATTTATTTCGAGAGTAATTCAGAGTGGAAATTTTTAACACTTTTGAAATAATGGTAATTTGTAACAAAAATAAATATTTTTAAAGTAATTTACAAACCTGCCTAAAATTATCAATTTTTCTCATGTAAAATATATATATATATATATATATATATATTGCGCGTTTAACACTCTTTTGATGAAAAATGCCTTATTTAAAACAGATTTTATGAAACATAACTAAAATGAATAAGTGCAGATAGGAATGGATTACTTTGAAATATAACTAAAATGAATTAGTGCAGATAGGAATGGATTCTTTACAAAAATGCTTGTTTCAGAGTGAATTTAGCAATAATCACTTCACTACAATTTAAATATTTATTTTTTCTGCAAAACATGTATTGGAATGTTTTTTAAATGTGGTGCTTGTAAATAAACTGTTATAAAGAAAAATATATTTGTTGATAAATTGTAAATATTCATCTTGAAATGAGCTTTTTAGCCTGCTAAAAATTTTAATTATTATTATGATAATAGTTGTCAAAAGAAGAAAAAACATTTAAAATAAAATGTGTGTATCATATTGTTGCATTTATCATAATTTGTTTTTGCTTTTAGTTTGAATTTCATTATGCTTTCTAGTCAGTTATGTTTGAAGATTGATAATGTATTTTTCATTGTATTTTAGCAAAGGAATTTGTTTATTAATAAATTATTTTAAAAATAATTTTTGTTTCTTACTTGAGAATTCTAGAATACTCTCTACTGCCATTTCCTAAAATGTTCTAACAATATCAACTCCTGACCGACAGAATTAGCTTAATAAAAGCAGCTGGAGTGCTTCTGAGACTATAATTCATGTAAATGTTAAGGAAAATATGCAAATTATAATGATAAAAACCATATCGGTAGTTAATTTTAGTTTCAAAATTTGACGAGATTTCCTGTGTTTGGTCACAACTAAGTAACAATAATTTCCCTATTTCTTTATAATTTTAATGATTTCTACTAAGATTTATCTCAGAAATTCTGTGGCAAATCAATTCTGAGTTTTATCATGGAATCTATTTAATAAATATTGATTGATTGATAAGCCAAAATATCGGGGGTTAAAAATCCGAACCTGTAGAGAAAAAAAGGATGTTTATTTAGAGGAAGTAGGTTTTTGTAACTTAAAATATCGTTTGCTCTAATTAATTGGCATATTTGAAGTCACACTTGAATCTTAGAACTCAAAGGTCCAATCATTAGATCAAAATTTAATCAGGGTGGTCGAATTTTTAAAAAATTTTTTTAGCACTGTACTGGTGGTTTTATTGCATAACTCCTTGAGTGAGGAAGAAATTCCCATTCTTTTATCTGAGGGTTGAAAGCAGGTTATTTTGATAATAAAAGCAAGTGAGACAAATGTATATCTTTTGGAGCTAAAGTGAAGTTACAAAACAGTGCAGTTAACTTTACGTTACAAAAGAGAGAAATCTTACATTATCTGTTCAAGCTAATTTTTGTACTTTTTAATATCTTATACTGCTTAAAACATGAAGAAAAAAAAATTTCAAAGTTTTATCCATTACTTTTAACTAAATATAACAAAAAGAGATGATGTTAAAGTAAAAATTGTAACAGTTATTGAGGTCCTTCTCTTAAAGATTCTTGGGGGCTTTTCTAATTACCTCACTATCTCAATTTATATTTTACTTCAATACCAATGTAAAGCGTGATTTCAAGTGAATGAGAATTGGCTTGTCTATAACTTATTAGGTTCACATTTATTTGAATAATTAAACATAATATAATATATATATATATTGTTATATTATATACATACAATGTATTTTACTATTTTGGGCACAAAAGGAATTTAGTGAAATAAAAAAGTTATAATTACAAAAGCATCTTCATACTTTTTTAGCTCCATGGTACAGATAGGCACCTATACTAAAAGTCGTTAGATTTAGTACAGCTACCTTGTTCACATTAAAACGTGATCTTAGACATTACTTCCAAAACTATGCATTTGTGTTATAAGGAAAAAGGAGTTTTCCTAGTAATTAAGGTTTTCCTAAAATAATTTTTTTTGGACTGAAAAATACTATTTTTTCGGTTCCATGTGATGGTTGCTATTTCAAGTTAAATGTTGATATGGAATTTAGTAGCTGGAATTTGCAAAACTGCATTAACTTCAATGACATTAAGTACTAAAGCCGAGACAAAAACCAAAGTGTAGAAATAAGTTTAAAATAGAAGTTTAGACAGGAAAATAATTATATAATTTTATTTTCCAACCATTTTTGTATAATAAAGTTATGTGTCTTTTAAAATATTTACATGTTAAGTGTGGATAATTTGTAATAATTAACTTAAATAATTTTTTCCCACTTAAATAAAAAATACATCTGTAACCTTAGAAATATTAAAATTGGTGTTGTACAAAAATATTGGTTATCAAAAACCAGTTGATCCATGGAATAAAGTTTCATTTGATTTTTAAATTTGCAGTTATCATGACAGGATGAATGTACATACTACATTATCTACAATGTATTTTTGAGAGAGAAAAAAAATTATTTTATTCCATTCCCAGAATGGTAAAGGTTATTTATTCTGCATTTATGGCAGACTAGTTTTTCTTCCTTGCTTCTTCAACTCAAATGGATAGATTTTAAAATAGAAAATAAGTATTGTGCAATCTAATATATTTTTTCATTCAAAAAAAAGTTTTTTTCTTCCAAAAAAAAGTTTTTTTCTTCCAAAAACTAGTTTTACTTAATTTGTAAAAAAAATTAATAATCACTTTGTATATATAGTTTATTTTTGAAGTATACATTTAATTCATAGCCATTTAAGTACTCTTTTTACTTATTAATGCAATAATTACTTAATTAAACATAACATACAAAATAAGTTATATTCCTAGTATTCATACTAGGAATATAGTTTATTCCTAGTATGATAAAAAAAGATGAAAGATAAATACTAAACTGCATAAATATAAATACTAAAATGCATGAAGATCAATATTAAACTGCATTAATTTTTTGTTTCTTAACCCACTGACGGTTCTGCATGTAAAAAGTCGTATTTCAACCTGGAGTCTTCTCCGCATGGCAAAACTGGCTTTTCCTTGTTATTAGATAGGGCAATAGTGTATAGCGGAGATCATTCTCCCAATATTGCCCATTTTCAAAACCACCAGTGGGTTAAACACTAAAAAAATCTGTAAACTATATTTTTTCAAGTTTACAATTTACAAAACTGTGTTTCAAAAATTCTTATGTATACACATTCTGTTTAAAACATTCAAATAAAGTTAAGCATTGAAAGGATTTATTTCCTCTGCAGTATCTAGAAGCTGCATTTCTTCTTCATACAGCATAATCGCAGAGGGTGGGAAGAAAGCACCAGCTATACATCTTCCCTCAGCATTCAGAAAGTTAAAGGTAGTAAGTGCTTTTTCAGTAGGTAATACTTCGGTGCTTATTTTATGAGATTTAAGAAAAGATCGAAGATCGGGATCGAGTTGCACTGCTTTATCTCCGGTGCCAAATATCAATAAGTCTAATTTAGGTTCTAAAAGTGAAAACAATGAAAGGGATTCTTTGGACACTTTTTCGAATGATTCAACATTCCACTGAAGAACGGTACGCGGAAAGGCTGCAACAGGGCCCATGATGAAAATTCCATTGTTAAGCCTAAAACCATGATTACCTAAGGTATCAAACATTACTAAATGCTTGTATTCTTTATTCAGTATTGTAACAGTTGTTTTACCATCACCTTCATAATTTTCCTGTAAACATTTTGTCACCATTAAAGTTCGAAAGACAGGCCTTCTTAATATATTCAGAGGTGATTTCAGAAGCCTGCATAAAACTTGAGTCATATCTGAAAAAAAAAAAAAATTAGAAAATATGTTTTACTAAATAAGTACCTAAATACACAGTTCAGTCACATTAATTTGACCACCTTTGGCAGAGCGGACCGCTGTGAGACGTGCAGGAAGATAGTGTCAATTAGGTTTACTCTTGGTAGCCCCTTGGTTCATCTAGGCAGTCAGTTGCTTAACAGTTGCATGTCTAGGCCTTTGTTCGCCCAAGTCATCTATAGCCTGTGGTGCACCACAGGTGCCATGGCGCTGATTTTGGATAGTGCCATTTTACTATGCACGGTATACATTTACCACGGCGGCACGCAAACAGTTCACTTAAATTATATATGCATGGGCGTAAGAAACAAAAAATTTGTTTTTCTTAGTNTTTGTGCAATTTTTTATAGTAAAAAATACTTTCATTCTTTAATTAGTGGTACACAGAGTTACGAAAAATTTAGAAGGGATACACAAAAGTCATAAGTTTGGGAAACACTGATCTAGACAGTCAGTTGCATGTCTAGGCCTTTGTTCACCCGAGTCATCTATAGCCTGTGGTGCACCACAGGCGCCATGGCGCTGATTTTGGATAGTGCCATTTTACTATGCACGGTATACATTTACCACGGCGGCACGCAAACAGTTCACAAAATTAGCCGTTTCCAAAATGCTTCGACCCTTGGCCCGAAGGCCAATAACCATGCCCTTTTGGGGGTCGGATAAATCGCTACGTTTCTGCATTGCGCCAACGATTTAAATGCTTTCCGGTGCCCTAGGACATCCTTTATATACACTCCACTGTAATGTGCTGCCACCTGCCTTCTGTGATTGGTTATTTCACGTTGACGTCAAAAGTAGGTGGTCGCATTAATGTGACTGTACTGTGTATTTATAGATATATATACATAATATATATTTCTGCCGCAGTAAAACAACATAAAAGCATAGAACAGTATAATTTATTTTGTAAGGTTGGCCTTTATAAAAAATGATTTTTCATTGAAAAACCTTGTTTGATAAATAGCTTCTCAGTGCTAAAATAAATTTTGAAAGCTAATTTTTTCATTACTAGTAAAATGTTACTTAACATATTTTCGCCCTCTTTCCTGAATGGTTCAACAGCCCAGGGTGAACCTTGGCCGTCTCAAGGAGCCTTCTTCCCGCCAATGCTTTTCAAGACGCATTTTCATCACCAAGATTTTAAATTCATTTTAATTTTAAAAATTTGCTTTTTAAGTATAAGTGAATATGTGGAATTTTAAATTATGTATAAACAATATCAGATAAAATCATGAAAAATACAAATAACTTGTAACATTCAAAATGCGTTTATATAACTAGCCTATGAGCAAAATGATATCTAGTGTTCTGCAACTAGACTTTAAACAGGTAAAATGTTGGGCAGGTATTGGCAAAAAAAAAATAATAATAATAATTATTATTACGATTTTCTTAATAATAATTTTATTTTTTAAAGTAAAAATGCAAAAAAAAAAGAAAACTTAATAAACAAATATAAAATTCTATGCAAAGACTAATTTAATTGAACATAAATTATTAAAAGCATATAAAATTTCCCCCACAATTTTAATATAAATTTTTCTGCTCAAAATATAAGTGTTTTGTAACACAGGTTTTAGATTTGAGTACTTTCATTTTTCGGAATAACTCACAACTTATGTATAAAAAACTTTTATAAGTGAGAATGTCTTTCTTTTGCATAAGATAAAAAATGACAATAATCTTATACACTTTTTTAACCGGTATTATTAACATGTAGTAACCTTAAAAATATTTAATTGACATTCTTGATAAGCTTTCTTGCATTACATAACTTGTTAACAAGTGTAGTTAACTTTTTTTTTTTTTGCATTTGCGTTATTAAAGAAGCGTTTAATTTTATTTAACAGTATCTTTTGATGTTTTTAAAACATTGATTTCAAATTTCTATATTCTTTGAGCATTGTAAATATATTCCAAGGTACATCAGATAAAACCCGAAGAGTCAAAATTTCTGTATCATTTAACTTTTGAATTAATTTGGAAATGGTGTCCATTACTTACTCTAGATTAATTTTCAATTCATATTTCAGAAAAATAATTTTTAGTTAAACATGACACTTATTAAACTGCTTTTTTTCAATTATTCTAAGAAACATCATTGCCTAACAAAAATGTTTAAAAATATAAAGCTATGTTTTTAAATGGGGTTGATACACTTACACATCATTGCTTTTATTTTGTTATCTGTCTGTTTTACTTAATTATTTCTTTTTAATACATGATATTTTTCAGAATTATAAAAAATACAGTTACTAGCACATATTAGGAAGATTAACTATTTAAAAAAAAATGTGCAAAGTTTAATATCGTATCAGTTTATACAATGTTGATAATATAAATTTATAATATTGTTACTTTAAGTGAAAAATTATGTCTCATATAAATTCCTTTTGGGTCAAATACGGATGAATTACAACATTTCTATAATAGCATACTATAAAATTATCTGTGCTCAACTGTTTGTATTGCTTTAATGAAAACAAATGTGGTCCACTGGTAGAACTACTTCATTTTTGTTAATAGAAAAGCTCTGCTGAGAGATGGTAAAGAACTGCCATTAATACCATAATTATTATACCCTAAATAGGAAATTTAAGTTCTGATAATAAATCGTCGAGCTGCATCACTGGTTGAAATAACGAAAAGGAAGGTGACAGATTTACATATATATAGATACGTGAATCTTCATTATAGGAAACCTATTATTAAGTACACAAAACGTAATCATTTCCTGTGAGAGACTAATAAAATTTTTGTTATCAAGGCTCAAATTAACATATATTGCAAAAAAAAAAAAAAAATTTAACTTTACAGGAGTTAGATTAATTTAGAAATAATATTTGCCGTTTTTCATAAATAAACTTCATGCAAAAACAAACTTTAATTTCTTAATATTGCTCCTGATACTTAAAAAAAAATTATCAACTATACCTGAAACTTAAATATTCAGCTCAATACATGCTCAAAGTTGCAGAAAAAAGAAAAAAACTAGTATTCCTGGGAAAAAAGTATGATCTTAGCTCTATCACTAGTCATATTTTAATGATTTTAGGATCAAGAACAGAAGAACTTACTTTTAAAAAAAAAATATGTGTTTAACAATTAATAATCCTCATAATTTTTATGTTTCATTGAAGAAACAAAACAAAATTCATGCTATTTCTGGTAATAAATATTTAAATATGCTAAGCAGAATGTCAAATATCTTAATTTTAATAAAAAAATCATCTATATATTTCTCATAAAAAGTGATTAAAAATGACTGAAGCTATTATAAGACTTATATCATTAGTTGAATTAATAAACATAAACAATTCTTTCTAATAATAATGAGTTTAAAGGCAATTTCATCACTCATGAATTCCTCATTTGCTTAGGTTAAATATAACTCAAATAAAAAGAAATCAAACAATTCGAATAATCTCAGTTACTATAACTATAAGTATCATAGATAAATTCTTTAATACTTATTTAAAATTTTTCAAGAATAAAAAATATAGTAAACAGATGTAACTTTTGTGATCATAACATCCAGTTTTGAACCAGTTTAACCAGATGTTTATTGAATTAGTTGATGAAAGCTATTGAAAAGTAAAGAAAGAATGAATGACAACAAAGTTTATTTTTGGAAAAAATTATCAAAACTGCTTAATTCTTTTTAACAAAGTTAAATGCTTTTAAAGTCTACAAATAAGACTTCGTAAATCCTAGAATGGTCCTTCAATAAGGTATTGTATTTTACAGGAATAGCTCTAATATACCCAATTAGTTTATTTACTCAAAGCTACATATCATATAAATTTACTAAAATATTCATAATAGAAGATTTAAATTTCTTTTTCTAGAATATTTGTTAATTTTTATCAAGGACACATAAGAACAAAAAAGGATATAAATATGCATGAAAAACATATTATTTAAAAAATGTTCTTTTACCACTATAAATTAATTACAACCTTTATAATTATAGGGAAAAAAGCCCATTGCACATTTTGATAAGATACAGTTAAGTTACAAACCCAATCCTTCATATGATGTCTAAAAAGTTTTAGTTTAAAAGAATTAAATTAAAAAACTTGATGACGAATCGATCCCATGAGAAACTGAAAAAGAAGAAAGGAAAAAAAAAAAAAAGAACATCCCTAAAGGTTACCAAATTGAAGGGTTTAACTCGTAGTTACTCTCGGAAAAATCTCCACCTTTTTTTTAAAAAAAAATTCGAACAAATAATAAACATTAGCTTAAAGCTTTAGATTTTGCTAAAAATTTTTTTTCACCGGCTTAAAACCTGACGGAAATTTTAATACATATTAACATAATTGATATCAATCAATTTAAAAAATGAAAAAAAAAATAAAGAAAAGCTTTAAAATAGACAAGATTTTTAATAAGCAAATCTGACATTTTAACGATATGACATATTAAAAAGCTTTTATCTACCGCTATATACTTGAATGAATGAAGATCAAGATTTATTTGTATTAAGTAAATATACAAATACCAACTGGTTACAGAAATATATGGTAAAATCTGCGTAGAACGATTTACATTTACATTTGCTTACAATTTTACATTAAACACTTTACATTTGTTTACAATTTAAGATGCCTATTTTTACCCAAATAAAAAAGGTGCTGATCAACCATGATAGATTATTTTTATTAAGTAACCAACTGGTTAAATAGACTGTTGCTTGGCTGCCCGATTTTTTAATACATAGAGGCATTTGATTGGTCGATTACAAATTCGTTTTCACCTTTATTGCTTAATCGTTTTGTCAGGTTTACTAGAATGACACTTTTAGCATTCTTGTTTGGCGCAATTTTACTAATGCGCAGGCTCAGTTTGATAATTTATTCAAACCAATCGAAGTACTTTGTAGACAATGAATATAGAGGCTTGTATCCCTCCCTTGCTTATGTATACTCAGACAAAGACATAAAGATAGAGAGATCAATCACTATACCAAATGGAGGGATGATTTCCGTATCGTGATCTACGCCAAAATTTGGCGAGATCCCTACGTCCCAAAAACGTCAAAAATGACGTTTTCGCAAATCGTCGGGAGTGGGATGGCTTCATGATGTAGGAATTGTTTGAATGACGAAAGATTGAAACCCCATCCTTTCTCCCTTTGTTTGAACTGAAAGTGGAAACTATACAAATATAAAAACTGAGAGACTTAGTTTTAATTTAGGAAAACAACAATCTTTTAAATGGAATTTAAAATCTATTTAAAAAGAAAAGTTTTTTAGCATTTCTTTTAAAGTTGCTAATTATTGATTAGCAAAATACATTTAAAACAAAACATTTAGTCTAACTTCTGCAACACTGTTCTGACAAAAAAATATTGTAATTAAACATTAAAGAAGTAATTATTATTTTTAAAGTAAATTCTTGTTATATATTATTCTAAATATAATAAATATTGTTCCAAAAAAGGAAATGGATGTAAAAACAAATCACGAGTTGATTGAACTAAAAAACACTGAATGTTATTAATAAAAACGTAAACTAAGTATTTTCGTTCATATAAATAAAGTTCAAACTTATTGTAAAATTACTTACCAGCTCTTTCAATGAAATTTTCCTTATAAATAAATCACGGCCGTATTGAAGGAAAAGGAAAGACATAAATAAAAATGTCCCAGGAAGTAGACATTCTTGATTTACAATTATCGGATCACAAAGTTATTAAGTTGATTATAAATAATATATAAAATACTTGGCGCATCTAGTTTTTAAAAAACTGTTAATTATTAGTTATAATTCGAAAATTGAATTAATAAGATTTATTTAAAACTGCCAAACGTTATAACATAGGGAAAAGTTGCACGTAAACATGCCTATTCAACATTAAAGCAAAACTGAATTGCCCGCCAACTGTTGAACAAGTTGTTCACGTGTCTCCATATGTGTAGCGTGAGGGGCAAGTTTTTTTTTCCATAGAGAATTGTTTCTTTGTATTAATTTTTTGTATATATGCATATTAATTTTTTATATGAATGTATATTTATTTATAAATATATATGTATAACTTAAAATAAAGGAACAGTTTCCAAAAAACAAAAAGCTCACTCCCCTCACGCTACACCTTTGTTTCGAAAAAAGAAGGTACCGTGTGCAAAAATTGCCGCCAAATTGAATTTATACATTCAATTTGGCGGCTGACAACAAGTATTTTTTTTTTTTTTTTCCGTAACAATTATTTTTTTTTCTTTGAAAACTCACTGGGGAAAATAAGAGTTTAGCTTTCAAAAATTAAGAATTCTCAATAACAGTCGGTAGCAGGGCTAATATTAGGCCAAACTAAGCCATGACCTTGGGCCCCCAATGATTCGGGCCCCTTAAAATGAATTTTTTTTAAAATAAATTTCAAAAAATTAAGGAAAACAATGATTTTTCAAATGTCTTCAAAATATTATGATTATTTTTTTGTTCTAATTTAATAAAATAACGTAAAATTTAATTTATTATTATTTTAAATATGCTATTTTAAATGAAAAGGTATTTAAATACATTTATATTTGAATAAATAAAAAATATACGAGAAAAAAATTTAATCTAAGGCCCCCCAAAAATTTGAATTGCCTAGGGCCCCGCGTACGCTTACTCCGACCCTGGTCGGTAGTGTCAAGTGTGCTTTGATCTGAAAAGTCCTGTGAGAAAATAAAAATATTAAAAAAATTTTTTATTCCATTTATTGTTGTTAAAAGTCGATTTTGTTGCGAATTAATAAATGCACTATGACGAACGCATTTAGTTTTTTACTCTAAATCCTTTGAATTGATAGGCAAAATAGTTTTGAAGTTATAGGGGTGTATGCACAAAAAGCGCTATTTTGCAATTGTACATATTTAAGCTTCTGACATCGCTATCTAAAAAAATAAGGTATTGATCCCTATTGTTATTGAAACAAATAAGGTATTGTTCAGTATATTTTTGACGCTTAATAAGTATCAGTTACATTTTTTTTTGCTTAAATATTAAACAGTACTAAAGTTGTATTGTAATTATAAAGAATAAAACCTTTATAACGTTTAAACTACCATCATTGTCATATAGACTTAAGTTAATCAGCACAAAAGTTAACACAACAAAAATAAAAAACTTAAAGAAACATGTTTCTTGTTCTTGCTGTTACTTATACTTTACATGGCCATGTCAGGTGCGTAACTTGTGTACTTTGTACTATGTATACATAATCGTGGTAGCTTCTACGCCATAACTTCTGTAGATTAATATTTTGTTTTATAACTGGTGTTGAACGACTAACCTAGTTTTTGCATTGCGAATATCAATGCTCAATTTGTAACCTCGCAATTTTGAACCCAACACAGAAGACAAGAAAACTCTTGTATTAGCATTGGGCAAACTAGAATGCATGGATCCTTTTTCAATTCGTGATAGAACTAACCCACATTTGCCTTATATGGAAAGAAAAACCATTAAAACATCTTACGTGAATCCAGATGGCAATCAAATTCTCAACAATGATTCGTCAATTACTGAAGATATTTTACGTCAGGACTGCAAACAGTGAGAGCCGGGAGCAGTATTCGTAACGACCAGTCGTAGCGATCTGAGGAATTTTAACCTCGATTATTTCATCGAGATGCGAGCTTTTGAGTGATTGCAACTCATACACTAGTATGAGCACTACTGTTAGGCAGCCTATCGAATTTGATATTATTCGATTTCGTAAAATATATATGGATATATAGAAGGCAATGCTTCTAAAGTGTCTAAATAGTCTTTTGTAAGCTAAAACAAGACGCTCGAGGTCAATCAATTTCTTACCACTTATTACGAAGAGGATACTTAACAGTTAGCTGATGTTTTGATTATTTTTTTTTTAGATTTTCATTTCAAATTCTATTTTTACTATACTAGTAACACTGATACAGGAGTTGATAATTTTTATTCATGCGCAATTATTCACGTCTAGTTTAAAAAGCTAAAATAAATTGGAGTTAATATTTTTTGGCATTTTAGTAGTGCTAATGGTATCAGTAAATTCATTCCAAATATTTTCGTGTTAATTAAGTATAAATATATATATAGGTTAGATAAACTAGGTTTTATTCAAGTATTTAAGTCTAAGGACTAATTGTTATAAATATATATACCTAATTATAACAATTAACCAATCAATTATATTTCCTCCCTTTTATTATTTTTAGACATCTCTCTTAGAAAAAAATTCTTTATCTTTTACATTTATTATATTACTTATAAATTGAAAACTAAAACATTCATTTTTTTGCTTTTAAGATAATAAAAATTTAATGGAATATTAATAAGGCTATTTATAATTAATCTTTAATTTTATTATGGACTAATTTAAATATTGAATTAAAATATAATTTGTAAATGCAATATTTATATATTTAAAACGTCCTACTGAAACAAGTGCGCATTAAAAAAGAAAATAGTGCTGAGGAAAAAATGAAACTTTAGATCACTAAAATTAATTGACACTATTACACAGGGGTTTCGTGATGACTACCCTTATTATTTATGTTTTCACGATGATGATCAGCTGGTAGATGAATAAGTAATTAACTGAATCAACGATAAATTACTGAAAAAAATAAATAAATAACCAGATCAAAGAATGACTTTCTTTATAAGTTATTTTGTTAATCAATAAATGAGTAAATGTTGGGTTTTCTGGTTATTTTAGTTAACTACATCATCAATTCTCTGATGATTCATTAATCCAATATTCTTTCATTTTTATTAATTTAATAACTCATTAATTCTCTCATTTATGAATTAATTGATCACTAACTAATCCGTTATTAATTAATAGATTCAACATAGATGTTTGATTGATTCCCTCATTGACAAATTCGCTCAGTTATTAAGAAAGCTAAATCTCTCATTGTTTCTTTAATTTACCGATTCTCTAATTTATAACTCATTGATTCCTTTATTCACTCATACATTGATTTGCTAATGCATTGAGTGGCTAATTATTAAATTCGCTGTTCTTTGATTTAAATGATCACTGATGTTTTGAATTCTTGCTTCGCTGATTTATTAATTTATCTGATTCGTTGATTTTATTGTTTCACTTTGTTGATTCAACATTTATCGATTAGCTCAGTGATTCCTTAATCCTATAATCGATTCACTGTAAAATTGCTTCTACTTGTAGACCATGTCGATTTTGGAAACAACCTCAAACACGCTGTTTTTCTTCTACCACGTAAATGAGCATCATTCATTTAACCAAATAATATACAAAGAAGATATGTCAAAAAGTAAGCAATTACTTGTAAACCTGATTAAAATGTAATCAAGATCGCCTAAAATCGTTTGTTATGATAACTTGTGATTATAGATTTGTATTACACGAAAACAGTCATACATTCAAAATATTTATATTACATACATATTAAATTTACACACACATCAAATTTACATACATATTAAATATACGTACATATCAAATTTACATTCATATTAAATTTATGCACATATCAAATTTACATACATTACGACATTTGTGTTTTAGTAAACATCAATTGCCAACACCAATCTATACAAATAATGCAATCAAACACCAATATATACAAAGATATGAACTAGCACTTTCATGGACTGGAACCTGGACTTGGAGAGCTGGAAAAGAAGAATATATATAATAAAATTTATGATTTAGAATATTAAGAATTCGACGCCCGGTGACTGAGTGGTAGCGCTTCGCGCCACAGGTCCTAGGTTCGATCCTCAGGCCGGGCAAGGTTCACTCAGTCTTTCATCCCTTCAGTGGGTTGATAAATGAGTACCAAGCATGCTTGGGAACTAAGCACTGGGGGTTCAGCGTTCGGTTGACCACCAGACCGGAACATCTGTCCAATGTACCCTAGAGCCCAAGAAAACTGAGATGGGCACAGTAGGCCTTGGTCCTCTATGGGCTGTCACGCCACTGACTTTAGCTTTTTTATTTTAGTGACTACTTAAAAGATTAACAAAAGCATTTAGAATCATTAAAAAAAAGAAGGAAATTATTACTTACCAGGTCCTCCGAGTTGGTGATAATTATGTGAAGCAATGACTTCACATATCTCTCGCAGGTATGAGAAGTAATCTGATACGGTTTCGCTTGATATTGATGCAAAACCTCTGGATCTTATCCATGAATTCAGTTCCAGAATTAGCTCCGCAATTTTAATCTTAGATATGAACATAAAAACAATCGCCAAAATGTCATTGATAAAAACCTTGCACCCTTCAAAGAAAGTTTTTTTTCAGTGGGTGCCATAGTTGAATTGCACCTACTTACCTACTTGCTTTTGCAGGTATACCGAAATTTAAGTTTTGACTTTTCCAGATAAGTTGTTCTATCAAACATACATTTTGGTGCTGGACTTGATAATGCAGGTAAAAGTCCAACATCTTGCGCAAATTTAATTGCGGTTTCTTCTGCTTCCAGAACCCTATGCATGTTGATATCCTTTAAAAGGTTGTGCATCTTGCGGCTCTTAAATAAGCTCTAATAAATGTGGTTCTTAATCTAATATATATTCGATGAAAGGATGAACTCTATCTCTGCTTTGCAAAACAAAGAATGATGACTAAAATTACATAGTTCTAAAGAAAATAAGATTCCGTGATTTTTCCAATTCAGACAGTCTGGCACACATCCTGTCCTTAAATCTATTTTTGGCTCAAATATGCAATAATTAAAAGCGAGACATTTCCCCCCTTTGCTCTTGGTGGGAATCAGTTATAATGTATGTATATATATAATATAAGTATATATATACCGCTAGGCTAATCGTGGAGGTTTTTGTGGTCTTCCTCTCCATATTACGCAAATTTTATGAAATATGCAAATTCTCTCTATTTATTTCTAACTTTGATTTAAAAAAGTTATGTCCAACTTCAATTTTTACATAAGTCTTAGAACAGAAAACTTAATTCAAAGTTTACAAAGAAATAATCAAATAATAACACGAATTAATTTCCATTTTTCCTTATCAACCTCAATGATTACGTTTTTTTGAAACGGAGATTGACAACTTAAGACATTCAAATATTAGGGTTCAACTTCAAATTCATTTGCACTTTGTTTTTCAAATAAATTTTTTTTCCGACGATCTTTTACAATGCGATCCTTACTATTACACGAATGGCATACTGCATTTTTGAATTTACGCGTTAAACATTCATGTTTACCATCACAGCTGAAACACACTTTAAAATTTTGAATTTGCAACTACCTGAAACATTAGAATTTTGTTTACTAAATTGTGCAGCATTTCGTTTGTTCCGACCACGTACGAAATCAATTAGTAAATCCAAATTTTCAAAATTAAAGAATTTTGCATACGAACATGCTTTGATTGGAAAGCCGCTACCTTAGATACTACGTCGACAGTAATTGCATTTTCAATTCGAATGGAGCAGCATGACTAAAAAAGTTTGTTTTATTTCGATTACTTTACATGTAGTTTCCCCCCCACCTAATTCATATAATTTTCAATTTAAACAGACAGAGAGCGGGAGGGGGGGGGGATATTTAAGCATTATTCAGTAGTCTTAACAAATCTTACCCATCACTAATTTATTAACTTATGTCATGATTGGGTTCATTTTTTTTCTGACTCCTTGGCGACCTTTTTAGATAGGTTGCCAACACTTGACTTTGTTGTACTGATGATAAAAATTCATTTATTTGGGAAAAATCTTCCTTTATAAAACACAATTTTTTAATTCAATTTTTATAAACTTTTACTTTATTAAATTTCATTTTTTTTCTTGAATTGCTCATATTCTGTTTGAATGTACATTTAAATGAAGTGTTTTTTATCATTTACACTATATGTACTTCTTTGTAGCAGGAATAAAATAATGCCTATTTAAACTAGATACGTGACAATAAGGTGTATGACATATGCTTTAATCTTCATTCTAGTATGAACAAGAAAATGCTTTTAATTAGGTTTCATATATTTCTTTTCAGTATGAATAAATAAATGTTATTTAAATCTAGCAGTTAGTGGAAACTTTTTAATATACATTGGAATAAAAAGAGTTTTTTCTTCAGTATTAAAAAAAGCATTTATTTAAATAACATTTATGTGAATTTTTTTTCCTCATACACTGCATATTAGTTTTTTTGCAATATGAAAAACACAATATGCATTAGAATTATCTTCATGTGTAGAACATTGCATATATAAAATTCTTCCTCAGTGTTATGAACAAAATGCTGTTCTCTGCCTACGCTTCTGTTGGCTGCTATGAATCTGCCTACGACGGTGAAGTTGAGGCTATTCTAATTGCCCTAAAACAATTACAGTGTCGTACTGACCAATTTTCTAGCGCCGTCATCTTATCTGACTCTAAAGCAGCTCTTGATACTAACTCTCCACTGATTCCCCAATTCATCTCCATTCAGAAATGCATTGATTGTCTGAAAGACCTGACACTGAAAGGCAAGCAAATCGTCCTCCAATGGATCCCGGGACATTGCGGGATTTGGGGTAATGAAAAAGCTGATTTCTTGGCCAAGAAAGGAACAACTATTGCCCAAGCATCTCGTTGCTCTATCTCTCTGCACTCATTTAAATCGCTGGTCCGAAACCAATTCCGAACATGCTCTCAGAGAATTTCCGTACAAGCAATATACACAAAACCTGGTTCAACCATATTTTAACTATCCCAAATCAGCCCAGGTTTACGGCAGTCGCTCTCTTTAGACTTGTAACGGGCCATGACTGTCTGGCCAAACACCTTTTTAGCATAAACATTTTTGACTCTCCTAAATGCAAGCTCTGTCGCCTTGGGGAGGACATGGACTTGCCCTATATTTCCGTCTGTCCTGCGCTCATCTCTACTACTGTGTGTGGACGCTACTGGGAAGCTAGGGCCCGTACGGGCTAAGCATGTCACTAAGCATTCAATTCTATTTATCTATTTTTGCCTTGTTTTTCTTGTTATTTTATCCCTTTTGTTCTTTCAAATTGGCCTGCCATTGGAAATAAAAAAAAAAAATATGCAAAATTTTATCTCGCAAACTGTATTAATAAGGATACTTTCCAATATGTCCAAAAGAGTGTTTTTTTAAATTTGCTTTCTGTGAGAATTTTTTATCACATAGATTACAGGAATAAGGCTTTTCTATACCATGTACCAAACAGTGTTGATTTAAATGCGCTTTATGTCTAAATGATTTATTAGAGAAATTGCATAAATAAGATTTCTCTCCACTATGTATAAGATAATGTTGATTTAAATTAGCTTCATGTGTAAAAGATTTTTCACACACATTGCACGAATAAGGTTTAACACCAGTGTGAATTATAAAATGCTTATTTAAGTAAGCTTTCTGTGAGAATGTTTTATCACACACACTGCATGAATAAGGTTTCTCTCCAGAATGAACAAGACAGTGTTCATTTAAGTGACCTTTCTGTGAGAATGTTTTATCACACACACTGCATGAATAAGGTTTTTTTTCAGAATGAACAAAAAAGTGCTTATTTAGATGAACTTTCTGTGAGAATGTTTTGTCACACACACTGCATGCATATGGCTTCTCTCCTGTATGAACAAGCGAATGTTTATTTAAATTAGATTTTTGTTTGAATGTTTTGTTACACACACTGCATGAATAAGGTTTCTCTCCAGAAAGAATATATGATTGCTTCTTTAAATTATATTTATGAGTGAATTTTTTATCACATAAACTGCATGAATAAGACTTTTCTCCAGTATGAACAAGAAAATGTTTATTTAAATTATCTTTCTGAGAGAATGTTTTATCACACGAACTGCATGAATAAGGCTTCTCTCCAGAATGAACAAGTGAATGTTTCATTAAATTAGCTTGCTGTGAGAATTTTTTATCACACACACTACATGAATAAGGTTTCTCGCCAGTATGAACAAGAGAGTGTTCATTCAAGTGACATTTCCTTGAGAAAGTTTTATCACACACACTGCATGAATAAGGTTTTTCTCCAGTATGAATAAAACAGTGCTGATCTAAACTTCCTTTATGTGTGAAAGATTTTTCACACACACGGCAAGAATAAGGTCTTTTTCTAGGTTGGAAAATATTGTGTTCATTTAAATTGCACTCATCAGTGTAAGATTTTGCACACATACTGCATAAATAAGACACAACCAAGAAGGTGTATCGGTTTCATTAATCGCGTGAGTTACACATACACTGCAATTTAGTTTTTTATTAATTTTATACATTTATTATGATTTTATCTTTCGAAGTTCTGTTTTGATTAAAATAGTTTAACGTTTCTGACTGCCTATTTTTGTATCATTTATATTACATCAAACATCTGCGTTTTCTGGAATTTTAAAAATTGAATGCGCCATCTGGGTTAAAAACAGAATTTTATTTTATTTAAAATATGTTTTGATATTTCCTAAATGTTGAATTTCAGCACTTTATTTAGTTCAGTTTTAAATTCCATTTTAAAAAGAGAACGTTATTAGTGATTTCGAGTATTCACATAAATTTTTATGAATTAAATTATAATTTAATCTTATGAATTAAATTTTTATTTAAAAGAGATATATTATAATAAAAAACTTAAAACAAACTATTTTAGAGCGTTTGTTCATTTATATATAAGTTCTTAAATTCTGTTTTACAGTTGAAAAGTTTATAAATCTTTAATTAAATTAAAATTTACAGATTACATCTGTATTTACTCTTATTATAAATAAGTAAAAACAAATCAGTGATTCAATGAATATTCAAGCAATATCAGAGAATCAGCTGTGCAGAAAATTAACATATTAGATAATCAATTATTCGCTCCTTTATCGATAAAAAATTTGATTCATTACTTCTCTCAATAATAGATTCTCCTTTATCTTAATCTTCAGTTTTCTGATTCATTGATACACACTGACTTATTGATTCACACATTAGACTGACTTATTGATTCTTTGAACCATTTATTAAATTGTTGATTCTTTCACTCATTGATATGCTAATTTATTGATTCCTTTATTTCCTTAGTTATTGATTCATTGCATTTCTAAATCAGATGTATTCTGCACCCAATATTAAATAGAATCAATTAGTACAAACTGTAATTTTTGCCAAATGAATTCATTTTTGTTTTTAAGATAGTCATGAATTTATTTAAAAAGCATTTATTATTTTAATAGTCTTGGAAATTTTATTTAAATTTAAAAGAAAAATTTGTTTTATATGAATTATTAATTAGAATTATTTATTAAAACAACACCAATTGAAACACGCTTGCGGTGAAGATGTGAGTGCTAATGAATTCAAACATTTCTAGAGTTGATTGTGAATATCCTCAAAAATGCAAGATTTTCCAAAAGGATTTCAAAATTCCCATAGAATTTCATGATTTCCCTGTTTCTAAAAAAAGTGTGAACCAAACGTATAAACAAAATAATAAATAGCTTTACTTAACTTGTTAAGTTAACATGCTTACAGGACAGACCAAAGCTCCATTATGAGCAAAATAAAAAGTTATCATTGACAAAATTATTTTATTAAAAACATTATTTGTTATATTCCAAGAATATTGTTTCCTTTGTATTGCCAATAGAGTTGTTAAGTATTTTCCAGAACGTGACAGAGGCGGCTCAATGCTCGCAACAAAAGCCGTGATGTGGACGGCGAGTGTAGAGTAAGAGAAGTAGCCGAGAAGTAGCATAAACAATTAGCAGATCCAACACAGATCCTTTGCTCTACGAGATCTAAGGTATTCTTAAATTGAATAAAAGAATCCGAAGCACTCAATACAAAACCTCTTTCTTACTTGCTTTCACCTCATGTTATTCTTATGTTGTATCTCTTATTATTTTTTGACAAGTTTCAAAGAATAGAGTAACATTTTCAGAAATTAATTTTAAATTTTTTTCATTGAATAAAAATGCATCAATCCTTCTATTATTAAATAAATAATCCCAAGAAAATGAAGAGGTAATATATAACTGGATTAAAAACTTCATTCTTTCCAAAAGTATACAAATTGGAAATAACAGTTGAGATATTTCAAGCGTTCAAAAACAGACACCCATTTTTCGAGTTTTGACAGACATTATTGAGAAGAAATAAAAGTGATTTGAAATTACGTAAAGTTTCCAATAAAAAAAAAATGGAAAATAAAGGTGAGAAATAAAACTAGAAAAACCGCAGTAGTCAAGAGAAGAAAAAAAAAGAAAAAAGAAAATCAGTGGCAGAGAGGGGCAAAGCAGAGTAAAAACAATAAGTAAATTTATGATTTATAATTGCATGTTTAAGAACAATGGCAATAAATATTGTTAATTATGCCTGGATATATTCATGAATTACTGAAATCATGCAGTCACAACTTTTTTTTAATTTTTAAAAAAAGCATTAAATGTAGGAAGATATTTTTCTAGTTCACAAATAAATATACTTCATATAATTTTAAAGAAATATTGTCCAGATGACTGTACTATGGTAGCATCAATCAGGGAAAGTATAAAAAGTGGTAGAAAATATATAAGTTTGAATTAGATTTTACTTTCACTTGCCATTCTAATTTAACTCATCTATTTTAGTTTCAGTTTTACTCATTGTAATACACAGTAGTTAAAAAATATGTGATGTACAATATTTTATGCTTATCAAAATACATTGCTTCCCTAAATATTGGAAAATGGAAGAAGTCAAATCAGACGCTAAATTTATAAATAAAGAAATGAACTGTCCATATTATTATTTTCTTTAATTTGGGAAATATTTCTAAAACTTTAACTTCTGCTTTTTGTTTATTGTAAAAATTTTGTTAAGATAATTTTAGGATTACAACGTTTGACATAATCATAATAAAAAAAATACAATTATGATATTAACATGTAAAAGAATGTATTCATAATTTTTCTGTTTACTCTATCATTTCATTTACCATAATAGTATTTATTTCCTTTCGTTACAAGTTTAACGAGTAATATTTATATTTTTACTGTACTAAGAGAAAGACTTTTTGCCAGAATGAACATGAAAGTCAGGTTTTTAAGTAAAACACATATTACATGTATTACAGAATTAAGGCTTTTCACCAGAATGAACAAGATTCTATTTATTTAAATCACATTTTTTTCAACAAAACACTTGTTATGACAAGAAAAAGGTTTTTTACCACTATGAACAAGACGATTCTATGCATTTAAATTACTTTCATGAGTAAAATCGTAATTACGTAAATTACACCAATAAGCCTTTTCCCCTTGTATGAATATGATAATGTGCATTCAAATAAGTTTTTTGAGCTAAACACATATAACATATACAGTAAAGCAAGATTATGTTTCAGGGGTCTGTCTAGGTTTTTTTGAGAGGTACCTATTTTGTAAAAATTTAGACACAATTTGTGAAAATTAAAAATTATATTAGAAAAATCAAAACAAAAATATGGATATATCATTTTTTATGAAACACAAAAATAAAATTTTAGGAAAAAGTATTTTATGAAACTATGGCTTTTAGAAAGTTGAATTTGTGAAGGTACTACTAAACAGTAGTAAATTTGGCTCGGACAGACCCCTGTGTTTAGACAAAAATTTATGTATAAAAACTTCACAAGACATGTCAAGTAAACAAAAGTTTTTAACAATCGAGAATCAAATTGATATACGATATAGTATATATTGAAAGAGAGAAAAATCTCTTTTACAGAGTAAATAATATAGCTAAAGTGAGAATTTTTGCAATTTATACACTGCTTTGTCTAATGTTTTCTCATTTTTTTTAGTACAAATGAAGCACATTCTGTACTAAATCTTACACACATATCAAAGCAATTAAGTTTATATATACAATTAATTTAAGTTTCAGTATCTTAAAATATAACAAATAATTCAATGTAATAAAGAAAACGTCATGTTTACAGCCGAAACAGTATTGTCAATAGTTTCTATATTACATTTAGAATAGAATTTTTCATATAAAAACTTCAGTTTGAAATCAAGGTGTTTGAAAAATAAATTTAAAATTAAAAAAGATTAATAAAATTTACTTTTATTTTCCAAGAAATATTTATATTATAATTTCATGAAGATTACAAAGAAATATTTCTTTTCAAAGAAACTCGAATAAAAACTAATTAAATTGAATAAAATAGTATAATAAATAAACATAGAAATTTTGAGGGTAATAAGAAATGCAGTTCATCAATTATCAGCCATGTGTCTATCTTAACAGCTTTATACAAAATGAACAGAGATGGAAGAATAATTGCACTGATTAACTAAAACCTACTAAATTTTTTTCCAGATAATTTCATTCCTAAATTGCTATCAACTTAATTATTAAGAACATTAAGTATTGCATTTTAGATGCTTGAAAAAAATAATACGATTTTTCAGTTATTTCAATGAATTCTTTCATGGGAAGTTCTAATACAATATAAATTCATCAGGGGTGCATGTTTGTAGGTCATATTTATAAAGGTCAGATTATTAGGCCTATACCTTAAAATTACTATACCTTAAAAAAAAAAAACTTTCTTATATTATCTTTATTTTAAGTCAGGAGTAGAGATATAATGTTAAAGAGTAGCAGAATGTTGCAAATTTATTTATTTATTTTTTCACCTCAAAATAAAAGTAGTTCCTCAAGTAATAAATATTTGTGTATACTTGATTAATATTTTTACTGAGTACAAAATATTTTGTTGATATCCTAAAAAGAAAAGAGAAGAAAATAAGGTAACTTGAATAGTGGTACACAGTCAGGATGTTTCTGATATGTGATTTTGACAGATCTAACTACAAATTAAATTGTAGACTTTTTTAAGTAATACACATACCACAGTTACTAGGAATTAGAATTTTTACTGTGCAATAATGGTAATGTTTTCTTTAAAGCTATTTAATAATGCACATTATTTACGCTCATGAAGAATGAATGCAATTATGTGAATTTAAATTGCTTTTTCGAGAAAATTTTTTATTACATATATTACAAGAATAAGGCATTTCACCAGAATGAACAAGATTATGTCTATTTAACTCCCTTTTATATTTAAAACATAGGTTACAAACATCACAACAGTACGGCTTTTCTCCAGTATGAATAAGGTTATGTACGTTTAAACTATTTTTTTGAGAAAAACCTTTTTTACATACACTACAAGAATAAGGCTTTTTACTAGAATGAATATAATTATGCCTATTTAAGGAACTTTTTCTAAAAAACTTTTTATTGCATATATTACAAGAATAAGGCATTTCACCAGAATGATCAAGGTTATGTCTATTTAACTCCTTTCTAGATGCAAAACACATGTTACATATATCACATGAATATGGCTTTTCTCCAGTATGAACAAGGTTATGTACGTTTAAACTACACTTTTGCGTAAAACTCTTATTACATACACTACAAGAATAAGGCTTTTCACCAGAATGAACACGAGTGTGCCGATTTAAATCGGTATTTCGAGTGAAACATTTGTTGCATATACTACAAGAATAAGGCTTTACACCACTATGAATAAAGTTGTGCTTCACTAAATCATTCTTTTGAAAAAAACACATGTTACATATACTGCATGAAAAAGGTTTTTCACCAGTATGAATACGAATATGTGCATTTAAATTACTTTTTTGAGCAAAACGCATGTCACAAGTACTACAAGAATAGGGCTTTTCTCCAGAATGAATTCGAGTATGAGTTTTTAAATTATTTCTTTGAGAAAAACTCATATTACATATAGTGCAAGAATAAGGCTTTTCACCAGAATGAGCACGCTTATGGTTATTTAAATTACTTTCACGAAAAAAATGCCTATTACATATGCTACAAGAATAAGGCTTTTCACCAGAATGATAACGTATATGATTAATTAAATAACTTTCCTGAGTAAAATTCTTATAACATAAACTACAAGAAAAAGGCTTTGTATTAGAATGAATACGATAATGTCTATTAAAATTACTCTTATAAGTAAAGCACTTCTTGCATATACTACAAGAATAAGACTTTTTACTTGAATGAAGTAAGGTGTGTTTAGTGAAGCTACTTTTATTTACATAATTTTTATTACATATATTACAAGAATATAGCCCATTGCTTTCTGTACCTACAAGATTGAGAGTAGTTGAATGATCTTTTGAAAAAACACTGTCATCATAACTGTCAGCTTTTTCTTTAGTATCAACAGAGCTGAGGTTCATAGAAAGTTCGGGTATGATAGATGTTTCTCTAGACATGTTAAAAAAAATTTCATAGCCAAGAATCAAATTACTGTATATTTAAAAAATTTCTTTGTGCATATGAAATCATACAATAATAAGAATGTTTAACAATTGATATACGTCAGTACCTTGAAATTCCTAAAAGGAAATTATTCCTTAAATTTTAAAATCAAGATGCTAGAAACACAAACGGAAAATTTATAAAATATTAATCAACCCTACAGAAATTTAACGAAGTTCATCAAAAATGTTTCTTCTCATAAACAATGAATAAAAATGAGTCAAAAGAATTTATTCAAAATTAAATGTATTTAAATAAAAAGAAAATATCATTTACAAATTAATGAGAAATGCAGATGATTAGTCTGTATTATAATATTACACAATTACTCTGGAAAATAGAAATGAATTTTAAAGCATGTTTAAAATGATATTCAATATATAGTGTTCAATATGGAGTAATGTTATTAATCTAAAATTAACAAGTCTTAAAATAATTGCTTGCAATTTTCAACAACATAAATTAAAAAACTGCTGAAATGAATATTAATTTTTTTTTTAATAACAGATATAAAGTAACATGATAAGGAATGAAGTTAGTCAGTCACAGTTTTAGTACACTTTTATCAAATATCTGTTATCAGAGCAATAATGTAGGGAAAAAAAAATTAGGCATCATACATCTGTATTTCAAAATGCAGACATTATTAATAATTATTCTCTTTATGTAAGCAAAAAAGGGAAATTGGACATCACCTTGGAAGAGCAAGAGAATTTTGGTTTATTTAATTTTTCTTTTTCCAACTTGCGATCAAAGATGATTCTGGTACCATCCACTCATTAGACTTTTTATCAGGTCCAAAAACTTTTGATGATATTCTAAAAGAAGAAAAAAAGGGAAAAAAGTAGTGGTTAGGTCAAGTAATTTTTTGATATGCAAAGATTTTTGACAGCTTTAGCTACAAATGGAATAAACATAGCAGCAAACTTAGAGAATTGCTTTTGTGAATACGAATAAAAAACAATTACAGCACATTGCATGGAATGCTTAAGACTAAATGTCAAAAATATGACTTACTTTGATGATTCAAAGTGTAAGAAAGAAAATGCCGGACCTATGCTAAACATTTGGCACTTTGCCAAATGATATGATATCCTAAATTCAGCAAAATAAATTGTGTTTTAGGGAAAGTATTGATGAGTCAGTTTTTTTAAACAGAAATAGAGAATCTTGTACTTTTATTCGATTACAGTAATTTCCCTAAGATATGTTGCACAATTAAATAAAATTATATTAAGTTCAGACAATGTAAACAACAAAAAAGATTATGTAAGTACTATATAAATGCAGCTTATAATTATTTTTAGGTCAGATTGTCTTTTATTATAGTCATTACTATTTTTCAACATTCTATGTGAAAATTCTAACTGTACTAGAACTATTTTATAGGATTAATTGTACGCATATTGAAATTTTTTAAAGAAAAAATTTTTGAAAATAATATGTCTGTTACCATAACTGGAAAAATTGCAAACATGTTAGGGAGAAGAATGCAAGAAGCTAAATAACCCTAAAAAAACATAATAATTTGATTTTATATAGATTCAAATCTAAACTAATCTAATTAAAGATCTAAGATTTAAATCTAATCTAGAGTAACAAATTAATTGTTATTTAACAAATTAAGGTACTGTAAATGTTGTTGTATTATTGGCATCTTGGCTACAGTCTTTTNACATATAATATCAAAATTAATTTTCAAATTTAAAAATAAAAAAGAAAGTTTTGTTTAAAAAATTTTTTTTACCTAAATAATTAAGAAACACTTCTTTATATATTCTTTTCATTAATAGATCACGTTCAGAACAAGGTAATGACAGTGATCAGTCCCACTGAAAATAATCTACAAGAAACGATATCAAGTCGCAACAAAGAAGAAGAAAAAACTAAGAGGTGATGAAACGAACATGTTAGATCACGATATATGTTCTCAAAACTGATTCTAATTCTACCGCTCATCCATCAAGGCCGTTTCAATATAACGATATGTACATCGTCTTCTCCAGCGCGAGTTGGCATTGGAACGTAAGAGATCCTTTCTTGTCATGTATCGCTATATCGTATATCGTTCGTCTTCTTTACTCGACGGCTTAAATCAGATTTCTGATGCAACGCCTGGAACGAAAGTCGCTGTATCGGCCTGCCGATACAGACGTTAAATCGATATGTCGCGATATATCGATTTATAGCCCAGTCCTAGTCATTACTATTTTTCAACATTCTATGTGAAAATTCTAACTGTATTAGAACTACAGAATTTTTATACGATTAACTGTATGTATATTGAAATTTTTTAAAGAAAATTTTTTTGAAAATAATATGTCTGTTACCATAACTGGAAAAATTGCAAACATGTTAGGGAGAAAAATGCAAGAAGCTAAATAACCCTAAAAAAACATAATAATTTGATTTTATATAGATTTAAATCTAAACTAATCTAATTAAAGATCTAAGATTTAAATCTAATCTAGAGTAACAAATTAATTGTTATTTAACGAATTAAGGTACTGCAAATGTTGTTGTATTATTGGCATCTTGGCTACAGTCTTTTACTATAAATTTAAAAGAATATGCATATATATTTACTTGATCTGTCACGAAATTTTCAAACACTATCTAGTTTAGACTTTATCATTGAAAAATTCTAAGTGTCAGGATGTATATGTGTTTAGTAAGAAGAAGTGAAAAGGTTTGTATACCCTGTCTTGTTACAACGCATTTCATAGCTTGCCGATAAGAATAGGTAGAAATTATACTTTTAAGAGTAGGCTGGAAAAAAAAATTACAGAAGGATGATAAAAAAATTAAATAAAAAATAAGATGAATGCATTTAACATATGCTTATTACTTACTAATACATACTATGTAATAATTACAAACATTCAGTAGGTATTTGGTTAGATAGGAGTTATTTGACCACTGCAATGCATAATTAAACTAACAATTAAATTTTATCCTTTACTATCAAATGAAATGACTATAGTGAGAACAGCATCCTTAAAAGGAAACAAAGAAACATACAAAAAAAGGCAAAATAAAGAATAAAAAAAATTTAATATTTCAAGACTGAAGAGGAATGCTTATATTTACTGGTTCTTATTTTCAAAATAAACGATTTAATGTCACATAATTTTATCACAAGAAACTGAACTGGTACGTCAAGCGTTTTAAAAAAGAATATGCTTTTAAAATTTTGGAAAATTTTTAAACGCATATTTGCCATAACTTACTTGTATTTTCCCAATACGATTTATTTCTTCAAACAAAAAACTAATTGCTTCTTTAATAGGAGATGAGAACGAAATCTTGCTTCGCTGTTTGCATTAATTTTATGTATTGTTACACATATATTTGCTCCGGAGACTTGAGTGTTTAATCTTTTATTTGTGATTATGTTTATTTTGGGTTTTTGCATTTTTGATGAGACGTGTACAGCTACTTCTTTCTGTTACCCTTAAGACTAAAGATAATTTTATAATTGATCTAAATAATAGACATTTTTTACGTGACGTCATAAATTGTCTTTTCTCACAAGAAATTTCTCGCACTTTCGATAGCCGCTGAGAAAAATGGAGAAACTGATCTACATTCAGTAAAAACGGCCATATAAAGACCATTTTCAAACATGAAGAATGCATTCGAAAAAATTACAGGCAGTGAAAATAGTCACTAAAGTGATATAAGTGATATCTCACATGTAGAACTTTACTGACGACCCGTTAATGTGCACATTATGCTTTTGGCGACGACAGTTTCGGAAACATATCTTAAGATTATCCGAAGATATGCTCTATATTTTAATCCTCTTCTAGAGGACATCTCAGCTCTGGTAGCCAGCTGTGCAGGAGGTCTAACACTTTACGTAGAATAATTTATTTTAGTGAGGACCAATACCACGTACTCTTGGCTCCTTAAGATTCCCTAGGAATTTTTCAAGTACTTGAACGTTTCTTCAAATAGTACCAGTGGTGTTTAGTGTTTAATTTCAAAATTTTTTGAAAACGAAGCAAATGTAACATCTAAAAGAAGATCATCTTATTAACGTCAACATGTTTTCATTTACAACGCACTTAATCATTAATTTTTCCAAAACTTGTAAACCTTCTTAATTGAAGTACACATTGAGATAAAGGTAATTTTTTGTGGTAAAAATATTGAAGTAGAATGGAACTAATTTTTTTTGTATAAAATTACAAGGAAATCTCCCGACAGCGACCACTCTCTGTTCCACAGTAAAATGGTCGTTAATGGAGGTTAGCTGTTCTTAGGGGTTTCGTCCATTAACTTAAAAATATTATCGAGGGTACATAATTTTTCGAAAACGATTTTAATTTTAGTCAGTATCCTTTTTTTATGCGGAAATGCCTCTTGTGTTGGCGCCACGAAAACCAGATAGATGAATAAAATTTGGCGTCAATATAAATAATCCTTATTGATATAATTATGTATAAAAACAAAATTACCAATTATGAATGATAGAAATTTTTTAAATAAATAATTATGATTTTGTTTAATTTTGCATTTAATTTTATGCCATAAAATTATTTAGCTTTAAAAAGTGAGATGAGATTTGTTTGAGGAGCTTAGTTTTTTGAAAGATAACTTTATTTTTACCAACTTAACTTTCAACTCTAAAAATAAATCATTGATAGCATCGTCTTAAGTGCACTCTGACTTCAACATAAGGTTGTAGATCTCTTCCACATATCGTCAAAAAGAGCTCTCTAAATAAGAGACTCATACAAATATTTTGAATGCATTTTAATTTACTTTTTTTTTCGTTAATATTTTTTGTTTTGATATTTTTTTGTGTTTCTTTATCTGACCTAATTCACATTTGGTGCAGATGTTCGCCTGATAGCTGGGAAAAGTTTTGATGAGGTCTCTTAAAGGTTTTCTTCTACAAAATATCCATGGAAAATATTCTGTGCCTCCCAAAAATGGTCGTAAATGGAGGAAGTCGCTATATAGAGTAGTCTTTCATAGAGGTTCTATGTATTACAATAAACCATTTGTGGAACTAGATGAAGTTTATTTTATGATATATTAAACTATTAAAAAGAACTTGAGAATTACGTTGCAACTTTTCAAATTTTATTTTTAAAATAATTAAATTTATGAAGCACGAATTCGTGCTGCATATACAATTTAAGTATGATATTGTAAATTGTTGTATGTAAATGTAACAGAAATTACTCTTCATATATATTCCTCCATGCCCTCTACATATTCTTGAACTTTGAAATAAAATCATATCTTTCAATAAAATTGGAAAAAAAAAAATATTTTGCGTACCCAACGCAAGCTATTTTAAATGGCCTGTATAGCTTAGATGCACATTACTAACGAGAAAACTAAAATAAGTTTTGAAACCTTGTTTACAGTCCCTAATGAAATATAAACCGAGCAAAACTGTCAAAATCCATTAAGTCAATATATGTTATGTTATAAGAAATGTTTTCTTCGTGCTTCACGCTAAGGATAGCTAGGGAGAATAAAAAAATTCTCATAATTACTTTATATAAATAACGCATTGATATAAAGATAACATCAGATCTCTTTATTGCAGAAATAGTAATAAAAAATAAATAAAATTTTTTTAGCCATGCTTTTTTCTAAAGTCGGAAATAAATACGATTTTTTTGTTAATTTTTCGGAATTCTTTAAGTGCATTTCATTACAACACACAAAATTTAAAAATACCCTGAATTCGAAATTTATAAAAAGGACGCCTTTTTCATACTTTTCTTTCATAACTTTAATCATACGTGCTTAAGTGTACTTAGCAGCACAAAATTTTCATCTTACTTCGACTAGTTATACTTTCACATCACAAAAACCGAATATGCTGTGTACATAGACTATCCTATTACGCCAAAACTAACTGAAATTTAAGCAAAGTTAGACTTCTTCCTTATCTTCAGACATAAGACTAAGTAATTGGTTCAAATATATATATTTATATATAGTTCTTCCGTAATTTTCACTGAATTGAATCACGTGAAAATTGGATTACTCAAAATGAACTTTTCGAATAATTTCGTTAAAATTACAAAATTAAATTAGTGTGAAAATTTGTATACTTTTCAACTTAAAAGGATTAAAACTATTATTAAATAAATAAATAATTATTAAAAAGTATTTTTTGATTGGAATCATGCTTGGATAAACTCATTTTATAATTGTGAGAAAAAATTTTCGGTTCACTTAAGGAGTTCTTAAAATATCGCGAAATACTCAAGAAACAAAATTAACATTAAAGGGTTTAAATACCGACTGATCTCGTGCCAAAATTATTGGAATCAAATTGACAAGGCCGCGACTTCCTACACAATTCTACAATGAATTAAAATGTGAGTGTGTGTGAGCAGGGGGGAGGGGTTGTCGCAATCTGCAAAGTATTGTCTCGATTTATTAGTCAGGAGGAGTGCAGTAGAAAGTTTGGGGTCATCTTTCAAGCAAATTAAAAATTTCGTTCTATAAATTCTTCGATAAATTTAATTGCAATCTAATGATAATTAAATGCAAAAATATTGTTTTTTCATTTTTTTTATATTGATTTATTAAGTGTCGAAAAAGTATTGAAAGGAATAAAAATTTTTACTCCATTTTACTGTGGGAATTTAAAGGACAAAATTCAAAATTTTAGCAAAATTTATTGAATAGTTCTTGAGTAATTGAATTTTAAAATAATGGCATTTTTTTAAATTTAAATACTCGGAAACTATTCCAACGGTTTCTATCAACTTTTATACTCTGTCAATAAAAATTACACAGTATAAAATGTATTTTTAAACTGTGTATTTGTACATTTGTATGCTTTACATTTAAATATTTTTCGACACTTATTTAATGAAAAATAATATTTAAAAAAATAATAATTAAACAAAGAAAAACACACATTGTCTATAACACATCAACGTTTTTATTACTTTTAATAACACATATCTAATGTAACGTATTTTGTGTGATGATTATAACAAAGAGTGAATTTTAACACATACATTACCCAACTCTTAAGATTTTAAAATTTTAGAGTAACAAAGATTTGTGTTCATGAGATCCATGCATTATAACGATTGAAAAATATAGTCTTTTAAAAATTCGTAAAAAAAAACATCACATATTTCACGAAACTAACACTCGAATTTTTCTTCGTATTATCTCACTATACAGGGTGTATCGTGATGTCTTCCCTCAAATGTATTTATTTTTAGAATTCAAGTAAAACTTAGTATAAAAAGGAAATAAAAATAAAATGCAAAGCCATTGAATCATCATTGAGAAAGGCGTGACGGAAAACATCGAAACCAGTTTGATTTAAAAGATATGTGGTGCAAGGCAATTGTTAAAGACACTTCTTAGTTATATAAAGCAGTAAAACAGGTTTTGTTTCGTTTTTCTCACTAGTGGTTCCTTAAATATGATATTTTATGTTAAGTGTCAAATAAGGTACCGTCCACAAATGTTGTTTCGCTGGAAGGGGTGGGAGAGTGTAGTGACAAGGGGACAAATACAATAAGTGTGACATCACTTTGTTCAGTTAAAATTAAAGCAGTTAAAAAAATTTTTTTCTTCATAAAAATAAGTACACATCCATACCTACCCAGCCTCCTGTTTTTTTTAACAAAGACTCCTGTGTTTAACAATTATCTCCTGTTTATCTGTATATTCTCAAATTTCTCCGTATTCGTTGAAGAAATAAATAAAAAAAAATAATAATTTCATGACAAAATATCCACTGATGACGAAAATACTTCTCTTTTTCCTCAACAGATGGTGCTATTTCCAATTCAGTTATAGTAAAAAAATCTTTTGGTCTTGTAAAAGCAATTATAATATACTCTTAAATCTCTGCTTTTTGCGTTAAAGCACTGAGAGTCTCTAGCAGTTTATTATTTCGAAGCAATGGACACATTATTTAAGACACAATACCTAAATAATTAATGTTCAGAAAAATACCTTTCGTGCCATACCATTTTCTGAATAAATAACTAAAAAAGTTCTGATTAAAAATACATGTTTAAAATTTAGGTTAATTAATTATGAGTTTAGTATATTTACTTCTACATCTCTTTCTCTCTTTCTGCAAAGTTGGAAATTATAATTTTTTTTTTCATTACAAGCTTATGAGAATTTTATCTTATTGGTACCATCAAAGATTTTATTAAATATTTTTACCGAAATTAGTATATTGCCAAAAAAATCTCCACTAATAATCTTTATAACCATTTCGCTGTTAGCCTGAGAATATAGGGCAATCCAAATATGTAACACAAAGAATATGTGTAAATCATATAGTTGAATTTGATTGTTCATATCGATGAATAAATAGAACTATATGATTTGATTGAATCATATAGTTGAAGTTGATTTTATTTCTGAGTGTTTCTTTGTCTTTGTGAGAAGTTTCTTTGTCTTCTGGATTGGGTTCAAAATTACAAGACTACGGACTTGAACATTGGGTCGGCTGTTTAATGATGGTTATAAAATAATATAAAATAAATGTTAAAACAATAATTTTAAATGAATAATGACATATTAAATGAAATAAAAACAGAAATCCAGATTTTATTTCAGCTAATCAACAATATGAACTCTTTAATCGGTAATGAAATAATTTTTAGAGAAAAAATTTAT